CAGTTACATTCCAAAAGCTGTGTGAGGGAGACAACTCACTGAGCAGGGCACAGCTCATCAAGATAGAGAGAGCCTGGAGGTCTGCAGAGAGGAGGGCGCGAGGGAAGGGGGGACTGCACAGGATGCGGCTTTGGTAGTTTGTCACTTAAAGATTCTCTGAAAATGTTCACCCTCTTGGTCCCAATTACCAGGAAGAGGGATCTGTTTGGTCCATGGGCAGGTGGGGGTGGGGGGCAGTTTCAAGGGCAAGAGGCCCCGGTCATGGCACACAGGGTGGTGGCCGGGCTGTTCCAGGACAGGGTGCAGAGCTGGCACATTGAGCAGGTCTCTGGCTTCCATGTGGGCCCCTCCTGCTGGCCCTTAGCTCCCTCCAGGCTGTTAGGTGAACAGGTGGGTGGGGTACGTTTCTTCCCCAAACCAGCCCAGCCTGTCCTCAGGATGCCAGGGCCCTGCTCCCACTTGTGTCTTCTCCACACCTCCAAGGAGAGTGCCTCCTGCCTGTCCCAGGGATGGGGATTGCCCCGGGAAAGGGGAACAAAAGGGCTGCTTGGCCTCAGGTCCCACTGGCTGGACTAGAGACAGAGGGGTGTGCTCCCTGAGACTTCCCACTGCGCCCCTAGAGCACCCAGTCAGTCTCCTCATCATTGACACTGAGGGGTGACCATCCTGTACTGCAGGCCTCACAGGGTGGTCATGAGTTCAGGACAGAACAGGACAGTGCAGAGCTCCCTGGCCTGTGCCACTGGGAGGGCTGAGGGTGAGAACAATGATGACAGGAATGACACTGAGTCCTCAGGAGAGCCTGTGAGCTCGGTGGAGGTCTCCCACTTTCCAAAGGAGGGAACGGGTCAGGGAGGCCAGGCCCAGGCCTAAGGTCACACACAGCGAGTGAGCGTTGTAGTTGGGAGTCGTCCAGAATCAGAGCATGCTGGAGTCGGGGTGGCACTGGTACCAGCTGACTTGGGTCAAATGTCCAAGGTGTGAGATCAGGTGTGGTGGGAGGAATGGCGTAAGGTGAGCATGACCTCTATGACCCTTCCCTCCACTCTGGCGGAGGCAGCCCTCCAGGTTTGCCTGATGTAGAACATCCAAAGGTCCAAGAAGAGGCTGCAGAAGAAGGTGAGGGAGCCTGTCTGGGGGGCACTCAAGGGTCAGAGGAGAGGGGGGATCAAATACCCCCACCCGAGTCAGACCTGCGGGGGCTGCCCCATGACCTCCACCAAAGCCCATGTAAGGAGCTAAGTCCTTAAGGACTGAAGAAACATTATCTGGAAAAAATTAAATGGAAATTGTACTTTACAAAAGGAGAATGATGAACTGAACCAGAGGCAAGTCTTCTGAGATACACTCCACAGTGAGGTGATAAAGGGAAGGTGGAGGACTAAAAGAAGGTAATGTGAAATGTAAGATAAGGTGCAAGAAATTTGAGTAAAATATTTAGTGCAAACAGTGAAAAACTATAAGAACTAAAACCATTTAAGGAGTTGTGACTTTATATGATATTAAAATAGATTTTTTTCTTCAACTATGTGAGAATGAGATTTTAAAGAGAAGAAAATCAAAGAAAACGGAATAGCAAGAAGCTTAAAGAATGGACAGATGAGGTTGAATAGAATGGAAATTGAAATAAATATAAATTTACCAGCAGAAAGCAAGGCAATTGAGAGTCCTAAGACTATTCTGAGAAATGAACAAGGCAGAATAGACCCATGTAGAAACAAGAAAATGTGTGTGGGGATGAAGGAAGGAACAAAACTGAGATATTTGTGGGTCTGTGTTTTGCTGTATTAATGTCTGTGATACAATTAGTCAAGTGCATGAACTTCTGAATTGTGGCTAGTCATGGGATTTATTTTTACAAATACAATTTGGTTCAGAAAAAATTAAAACACTGCCAACCTTTAGGCAAAAACAAACCAGCTCATCTTTCCAGGTGAATTACACTAGACACACTTCTTTATCCTCATTTCAATACTCAAATACACACACAATTTAAATCTTGAGACCAATTTCTTTATCTTTACAATAAAGAAATTGGATTAGATTTGATTTTTTTCTTTTTAAAAATAAAAGTAGATTATTAAAAAATGATTTGTGATTATAGGTAGAAAAAAGTTTAAAATAAGTGAGCACCCACATACTAAATTGGAAATAATTACATATATTTTTATACATATCCTTTCAGATATGCTAGTCATATATGTAAATATGCACTTATCTATATTTTTAAATCATGTTATATTTCTGTTTGATAATATATTCTACTTCAAATGTTAAAAATGTTTCTGAAAAATAACATCTAGTATCTTTTCTCCTGCTACATCATAAATTACATAATTTACCTCTAATTAATGGACTTAACATTATTTTATTTTTTGCTTTATGAATAATTCTGTGACGACCTCTGAACATTTATTCAATTATTTTCTCTCCCTTTTTTTTTAAAGGGCAATGACTGATAAGGGATATGGAGTTTCTTTTTTAACATATACTTTTTTTGGTTTCAGAGAGTAAGGGAAAGGGAGAGAGTAGAAAACATTAATGATGAGAATCATTGATCAGCTGTCTCAAGCCTGCAATGCAGCCATGTTTCCAGGGGAATCAAACCATGACCTCCTGGTTCATGGGTCCATGCTCCAGCCACTGAGCCACTCCAGCCGGGTTTTGAATTATTTCCTGCGAATAAAATGTTTCAAAAGATACACATATTCTAAATTTTAGTATGTATGCATTTTGAATCATTTGACCAAATTCCCTTGGAATTTTGATTGGGATCTCATCAAATTTGTAATTGGGTTAAGAGGAATTCATTCATTGGCTCCTTTATCAGGTATGTATTGAGCATCTCCTATGGGCCAGGCACTAGAAGCTCAAAGAGCTTGTCATGATGGCATGTTCGCATGAGAGTCAAACCAGCCAGCATATGCATAACGTGAAGTCAGGATGTGCTGCGTGCTCTGAATAAAAGTGTGTCCTCTTCCTGTAACAAACTGTAGGCAGGAGGTATTCCTGTTTAACTGGCCCTTAGTTATACAAGGGAGCATCTCTCAAATCCTTGTCCCCAAGTCTGGTTCCAGAAGAACCCAAGTGGTGCACCGTGAACCAAGGATTATTCACAAGAGTGACCATGTTCCCAGACATAAAGTCTCAACATGTTTCAAAAAAATGGAAATCATGTAAAACATGTTTCCATCCCAATAGCAATTGAGCAAGATGATTAGAAAAATTCCCAATTGTTTAGAAATTAAGAAACACAATTTTAAATTTCTATATCTGAGACAAATAAAAAAAAGCAAAGTAGAAAGTCATGCTGTATGGGAAATTTAAGTGCATGCATTAGAAAAAGACAAAATCAGTGAGCTAAACAATCACGTCAAAAAGGCAAATAAACAACAACAACAACAAAAACATGCCCCCAAAACAAAACAAACATTAAATCCAAAAAGAAGGAAATAAAGAGAAGAAAATTAAAAATTAATATACAAATAGAGACATCAACAAAGCCAAAACCAAATTCTGTGAAAAAGTTAATAAAATTGAGAAAGTCCTGTCAACATGATGAAAAAAAAAGAAAGGTACAAATAACCAACACCAGAAAGGAAAAGGGGCTTCCACTAGATTCTGTAGACCTTAAAACAAGAATTATGATATTCTTAACAATCTTATAGCAATTTGAAAGTTCATATCATGTGAAAAACTCATAAAAATAGTTCACCAACACCCAGGAATAGGAACGATGAAGATTTTATGGTAGTTTAAACACGGGCAAAAAGTCTTTGCAGCTAAATGCCATTGAGAGGTGCTATCCCCGCCAACCCCCGCCACTCCTGTCTCAGGTCTTGCTTTGACCAATGGTGTGTGGTAGAGGTTTAAGGCTTCCATTTGGCTCCCCTGGACCCCTGAGGTCACCACATAGGGAGTTGATCTAGCCTACTGGAAGATACAGCGGGGCCTTGACTTACGAGTTTAATTCGTTCCGTGACGGAGCTTGTAACTCAAATTACTCGTATGTCAAATCTTAAAGTGAACAAGTGAGACACGTGATGCTGGGCTGATGTTGTGGCGTTCACTGTGACCTTCGCTGCGCCAACTAGTGGTGGGGTATCTGAAGCTGGCTCGTAACCGGAATTTTAGCTCGCAACTCAAAGCAAAAATCGGCCGAGAGATGGCTCGTATCTCGAAAAACTTGTTAGTCAGGACACTCGTTAAGTCAAGGTCCCACTGTATTCTGAAATGTAGTCTCGATCTTGCCTTATCTGTTATCACACTTTTCAGTTACATGGAACTGAACCCACTCAGGCAAAGTGACATTGGCCAGAAATTGGAGGGCTCAGTCTACAACCCAAGGAAACTGGAGCTGGAAACAAAAGCCACCAGATCCCCACAGCCCTTCAGGGACCGCATTGCTCCCTCCACCCTGACCACTTGGACTTACACCTTAGCTCCCAGGCCAACTGACTTTGTCTTAAAGATCATATCCCAGGACAGACTCTAGCTCATTTTTACAAAGCCAGGGCACAGCCTCAGGTTTCAAATGGACAGTCTAGTCAGCATTGGCAAGTCACTTCCAATTTCTGGAGATTTGGAGTCACCTCCAGGGGAGCAACAGGTCTAAATAGTAAATCTGGGTGCAGCCCCAGGCATGCAGAGCTCAGCACTCTGGGGTTCTTCTCCTGCAGACCTGCCCTCTCGAGCCTGTGATCACCAGCTGTGCCCATGGAACCTGACACCCTAAGAGAGAGGAAGAAGCTGCAGCAGCCACTGCTTGGATCCACATGGCACCCCCTTCTGTGTGCTGAGTGCTGCCCAGGGCTCTTCTAATGGCAGGAGCCGCTCAAGCCCACAGTGCAGGCAGAAGTGCTAGGTGGTCAGTGCCCACAAAAACAGCCCTCAGTGACAGACGGAAGTTGCCCCCTGAAGAGTGAGGGATGTCCCATGCAGTCTTCTGGAAGTCCCAGAAGGGAGTCTAGGGCCCTCAGTGCTGAAGGCAGGAATCAAAGCCTGGTGTACACAGTCTTTATTTATTGTGAGTCCCGATGTCCAGAGACTGGGCCCATATCCAGGGCCCTCAAAATAGCATCTGGTCATTCACTCTTCAGGGCTGGGGCAGTAAGTGGCCAGTCACTCCTGTCCAGCTTTCACATGGTCCAGAGTCCTCAGGAGGCAGGAAGTGGCCGTGCCTGTGGAAAACACATCATCATCTGCCACCGTCTGTGCCCGCCCTGGGGAGATTGTGTAGACAAAGCAGAGGCTGCCTGTGGAGCCCATGAACAGGGGACCTAGTGAACCGTCACTGGGAGCAAGGAAGGCAGCTTGTTGTATGCACTGAGCCCCTACTGTGTGCCTGGCACTGCTACAGGTACTGGGGACCCAGCACTGGACACAGGCAGGCACAAGTCTCCAACTCAGGAGGGATAGACAACAACAAATGAACAAAAATATTTCGACTGATTGTCTACAAAGAAAACGAGGTGGAGAGAGGTGTATGTGGGGAGATGTAGGTGGCACTTTAAACCATACAGCATACTTTACGAGATGGGGACAGGCTGGTTGCTTATCTCAGGAGGAAAGGAGCAACTGAACCTAAGATGGGAAGGTGGGGTTTTTACTATTCAGATGCCCCAAAATCTTGAAAAAACATCACCAACATATGACTAAGAAACTACCGTGAAGAGCATGAGCTCCTTAAGAATATTTCCTGAGAAGAATTAAAAGTCCTTTCTACTGGGAGTTCTTGGGGCCTGAACCTTTCACTTATCCTGCCTCGTGAAAACACAAGACTGAGGTCCAGGTGAGAGGGCTTCTGCCCCAGTTTCAGCAAGAACCTCTCTGAAACAAGCGATGGAAGGGCAGTGGTTACAAAGCAGTGGTGTGTAAGCCATAATTAGGGAGTCAGGGGCGGTGGGAGCCCGGCATCGGGAGTGGCCATCACACGAGGTTTTCTGAGGGAGGTGAGCAGAACTAGGTGGCAGTCCAGGTGGAAGGAAACAGCTAGATAAAAGCCTGCCAGCAGGACAGACATGAGGTGGAGTAAGTTCCATTCCCTGGGGCTGGAACACAGGACTGGAGGAAGGGGGAGGGCCCATAGGCAGCACCGAGTTGAGACCTGGTCTATGGAAAGGGTTTTAAGTAAATCAGAACCCAGTCAGACTCGCTCGCAACACTTGGGGACCACTGCAAAAAATAAGTCATTTGGAAAGACTGAAAGGAACACAAAGGCCAAGAGAAAGCCTCTCCCCTGGGAGCAAGAAGGGAAGACGGGGCCACAGAGACAGGGAGGGGCAGATGAGAGAGTACCAGAAGGGCTGGTGAAGAGGGGATCTTTGCCTTTGGGGCTCACAGTCCCATAAACATCTAAACCAGGTTTCTCAACCTTTTTCCAAAATTGCCCCACTAAGGAGTCTTTTTAGACATTTATTTTAAACTGTGCCCATGAAATTTTTATTTTATTTAAAATATATATATATATATATATATATATATATATATATATATATTTGTATTGATTTCAGAGAGAGGAAGGGAGAGGGAAGAGAGATAGAAACATCAATAATGAGAATCACTGATCAGCTGCCTCCTGCACAGTCCCTAATGGGGATCGAGCCTGCAACATGGGAATTGAACCTTGACCTCCTGGTTCATGAGCTGATGCTCAACCACTGAGCTACCACTGGCTGGTCCCATCCATGAAATTGTAATACCATAGACCTACTGTATCTGTTAAAGTACCATATACATTAAAAAAAGTAAGACCTTTACCCCAACCTCACACCTGCCAGGACAGCTGAGGGGCAGGAGAGGGTGAAGGAAATTGAACAGTTAGCCTGGGGAAGACAGAGGCTGCCCAAACCTGGGGTTTTGTTCCTTGATGTGAACAATATCAAAGGAGTAATGTGACCAGTCCTCAGTTCTTAGGTGCTCTCTGGCCGGAGGCAGGTACTGTGGCGGTTCATAGAGGCCAGGGGGACCATGGGACAGGTGTCCTGGAGGGCAGGTGGCTGGACTAAAGTAGGGGCTATGGACGGGGCAAGAGGTGAGTGTTGTGAATTCTGGATGCATGTGAAGGTCGGTGCTGGGAGGGTGGGGCTGAGGGTGACCTCAGGTCTTTACCTGCACACCTGCAGGTGGGCTTGCCGGCTGCACCTGCTCAGCGCACTGCAGGAAGCGGCGCACCTGCTCCGCACAGTTGCCTGTGGCCGCCTCATTCTGCCGAAGACACTCCTCAAAGGCCTCAAAGGGCTCTGCACAGGCCTGGCGGATCTGACGGATGATTGGGCTGCAGGGAGGGCACCTTCGAGCTCGACCTTCCTGGCACTACCCCACCCCACTGTCCCCCCTCGACCCAATGGCCCCACCTCTGGTACTGCCTGGTCCCCCGAATTACCCACTCCGGCACTGGCTCCCCACTGCCCACCCCCCCGTGTTCCCCACCTCCCCACTGTTCCCAGTGCTGCCTGCCCCTGCACTGCCCTCCTGCATTCCCAGCCCCTGCACTGCCCTCCTGCACTCCCAGCCCCTGCACTGCCCTCCCGCACTCCCAGCCCCTGCACTGCCCTCCTGCACTCCCAGCCCCTGCACTGCCCTCCCGCACTCCAGGCCCCTGCACTGCCCTCCCGCACTCCAGCCCCTGCACTGCCCTCCCGCACTCCCGGCCCCTGCACTGCCCTCCTGCACTCCCGGCCCCTGCACTGCCCTCCTGCACTCCCAGCCCCCTCCGAACCGCCCCAGTCCGGGACTGTACCGCACTCACTGGTTAGAGGTGCAGCGAGCGATGCTCATTTTGAGGTGGTGACAGTCCCGCTGCCAGGACTCGGGCTTGGCGGCCACACACTGGCCGTACTGGTCCAGCTCGCGGCCGCAGTGGCGGGCAGTGACCTCCAGCGCCGCCTGCCTGCGGGACACGCGGGTAGGGGTGGAGGGTGTGGGGTGGGTCCCCGAGTCTCACGATCGCACCGCAAGGCCCGCGGGGTGCCGGGCTGTGGAGCGGGCCAGGGGCTTCGGGATAGAAGGTGAGGGTCCCTGAACAGATGTGGTCACTCTAATGCGCGGTCGGGGTCGGGCAGAGGGTCCTGGACCTCCCCCCCTCCCCCCATGGGGCCTTAGAAGTAGGACCCAGGGCTCTGGGAGGGCCTGGGAGCCACAGGTGGGTGTGGAGTCGGGTCCAAGGAAGGGTCTCCCAACCAGTCTTAGCGCGGAGACCTGAGGACAGGGCACTGGAGGGACACTGGAGGCCCTCATGGGTCAGGGTCCTCGGGGCACGATCTGGAAGCGCCAGGTAGGGCTGGGGCCCGGGTTCGTCTCAAGAGAGAAGGTGGGGTGACCCGGGGGCGGAACGGGGGCTCCGAGGCCGGGCCTGGAGTCCTGCGAGCTGCCTGGGTGTGAGTCCTCGCCTCCCAGGAGGAGGGGAGCGGGGCTTGGACGCGCGGGGAGGGCTGACGGCGCGGAGTCCGGAGGTTCAAGGAACAGAAGCCACCCCTCCTCCCGGATCCCGACTTAGGTCCGGGTCACATACAAGAAAAAGGTGTGCGCGGAAGGTAAAGGGAAGGTGCTCCTGCTACTCACATTTCGAGGCAGGTGCCGGGAGAAACAGTCCGGAGGAGAGTCCCGCCTTTTCCGGTGTCAGGTTGTCATGGCGGCGCCCTCCCTGCCTGGTTTATTCCGTTCACACAGCAGCCAAGCGGCCCTATTGCTTTTAGCGCCAATCCATCAGAGCAGAGCCCTACCTCTGCTTCCGCCCCGACCTGTCATGGCGGGGCTCCGCCTCTGCTTCCGCCCCGACCTGCCATGGCGGCGCCCTACCCCGGCCTCCGCCCAGACCTGTCATGGCGGCGCCCTGCTAGCCACTTCCGACTCCGGCCCGCTCGGTGGCCACAATCCTATTTCCGGTTTTCCCAGGCGGCCTCCGAACTGCACCGGAAGTAAATAAGGGAAAGTACGGCGGTGCCTCTGCACTAAGAAAGAGTGGCGCTCAGCCGCGAACCCCTGTGGGGCCGGGCCCGACTGGAAAACTAGTGGCCCGCGCCGGCCCTTTGCTGCAGACCCTCAACTCGGGCGGCTCGCGGCTCGGCTGGCTGCCGTGTGCTGGCTGCTCGGGCGCCTGCGGGGAGCCGGCGGGAAGGGGCGCGCCCCAGAGCCGGGCCGGGTCTGCGCCACCTGCGGGCGTGAGTTCCCACCTGGCTCCTCTGCAATCCCTCCCGGTGCGGCGAGGCTTCCGGGGAGTGAGGTGGGGCTGGACCCGCGCCTCTGCGGCGGCGGCCGGGTCTGTGTTCCAATGGGGCGCCGTTCCCCCGCGGGAGCACGCAGGACGCCCTCGGCTCTGGCCAGAGGAGCACACGCGTTTCAGAGACGGGCTGCCCTGCCCGTGAGTCAGACAGCCGGGGCCTCGACGTGCGCGGCTCTGGAACTGGGGTGTGACAGTGACACCCCCCGACGGGCTTAGTCTGCGCCAGTGCAGGAGCCGTTCCCGAGCTGACACCTGAGCCGGCCACGTGACCCGGGTCTGGAGCCACGCGCGCCGAAGGAAAACCTTTCACCCCCTGCGTTCTCCTTCCCGCACAGCCTTCCAGGTGGCCTTTCGTGGGCGGACAGGGAGGGACAGGACTCTCCTCTGTGACCTCAGATGTGCACCGAGTCCTCAGATGTCCGCAGCCGGCCCCACGTCCTGTCCCCGAATCATCCCGAAGCCCAGCTCACGGGCCCCATGGGAGGCATGTGGCTGGGCTTGTAAGGAGGCTCCCTGAAGACCCAGCAGGGGAGCTGCCTTGAGCCCCCAGACTTCTGGCCGCCTTTGGGCTGTGGCTCCCTGGAGATCGAGTGTAAGGGAGACGTCGGTGTCCCGGGTTTGGGGTGAAGCAGATCTGAGCCTTGTATTGTCTCCTCGTCACTGGTGGGTCCCCACACAGTCTGGCGCGGGCAGAGGAGTGGTGGACTGAATTTGCTGTCTTGGCACTAGAAAGAAATATCACCCTGGAGCTGAACATGCTAGCGGAGGGACAGACAACTACCAAAACAAACAAGAAAGGCACACTAGTGATGGTCATTCACCAGGAGAGTGGTCATTCTGGGAAGGGAAGGGGAAGTGTTGGGAGAGTGGTCAGAGGTGTGATGTGATTTATAATACGTATTTGATCTTCATCCGCTGGTCCTGGCACAAGTCTCCTGAAGCCCTTGGGATTTCACATGCGATGAGAGCAACAGAGGTTGGTCTTTTGGTGTTAACTGAGGTGACTTTTGGACCTCACTGAGGAGGGGGGCTGGTCTCCAGAACCAGCCTTGTGACTAGAGGTTGGAACGTTCAGTCTCACCCCCCTGGCATCAGGGAGGGGAGAGGGGCTGGAAGTGGTGTAATCAGCCCCACCTAAGGAATGAAGCCGCCATAGAAACCCCAAATAGGTTTGTGGAGCTTCTGGGTTGGTGAGTGGCACACTCAGAGTGTGGCAGCTCCAAGCTGTCGCTAGACCTTGCCCTTTTTATTTCCTCCCAAGTCATATACTTTTACATTTTTTTGTTTGTTTTTTGTTGTTAATCCTCTCCTGAGGATATTTTTTTCCATAGCTTTTCAGAGTGGAAGGAGGGAACGGAGTAGAGAGAGAGAGATGTTGATGCCAGAGAGAACATCTACTGGTTGCCTCCCACATGTACCCCGGCTGGTACTTGGGCTGACAGTAAAACCACTGAGCGCACTGCTCAGGGTCTTTTACGTTTTTTAATTGATTCTAGAGAAACATTAATTTGTCATTCTACTTATTTATGCATTCATTGGTTGCACCTTTTTTTAAATAGTATTTTTTTAAAAAATTACTTATTTTAGAGAAAGGGGGAGAGAGAAACATCAATTTGTTGTTCCACTTGTTTATACATTCATTGGTTGATTCTTTTATGTGCCCTGACTGGGGATAGAATCTGAAACCTTGGCATATCGGGACAATGCTATAACCAACTGAGCTACGCAGCAGGGCCCTAAGTTATATTCTTTCATAGTAAACTGGTGATCTGGTGTGTAAAATGTTTCTGAGTTTTGTGAGCCATTCTAGCAAATTAGTCGAACCCACGGAGGTGTTCAATCTATAGCTAGTTGGTCAGAAGCACAGCTGACAATTAGGCCTGATGGCTGCCCCCATCCCACCTAAGAAAGCTTAAGAATGCTACAGGAAACACTGAAGTAAGCCCTGGAGGTTGAAGAAAAACGCCATGAGGTAGAAGTCCAGTATATAAATGTCATCAGACGTGGTAAATGTGGTGTTATTAAGTAATCCTATATAAGAGGGTAATATGCAAATTGACCCTAACAACAGAATGACTGGTCACTGGGACACACACCACCAGGGGGCAGATGCTCAATGCAGGAGCTGCCCCCTGGTGGTCAGTGCGTTTCCATAGGGGAAGCTCTGCTCAGCCACAAGCCAGGCTGATGGCTGCCAGTACAGTGGTGGTGGTGGGAGCCTCTCCCGCCTCCTCAGCAGCACTAAAGATGTCCGACTGCAGCTAGGCCTGCTCCCCACTGGCAAGTGGACATCCCACGAGGACTCCCATGCTTCCAGAGGGATGTCTGACAGCCAGCTTAGGTCCAATCCCCCGGGGAGTGGGCCTAAGCCAGCAGGTGGACATCCCCCGAGGGGTCCCAGATTGTGAGAGGGCACAGGCTAGGCTGAGGGACCACCCCGAGTGCACAAATTTTTGTGCACTGGGCCTCTATTTTATAAATCTCTTTAAAAGATAATTGCTTAGAGCAAAGGTAATAATGTATTATGGGGTTCATCACATATGTATAGATAAAATGTGTGACAAAAATGGCACATGCCCAGCCGGTGTGGCTCAGTGGTTGAGCACCGACCTATGAGCCAGAAGGTCACAATTCATTCTAGGTCAGGGCACATGCCTAGGTTGTGGGCTCGATCCCCAGTAGGGAGCCTCCAGGAGGCAGCTGATCAATGATTCTCTCTCATCATTGATGTCTATCTCTCCCTCTCCCTTCCTATCTGAAATCAACAAAAATATATTTTAAAAAAATGAGCAAAAGACACATTTCACTGAGTAGTTATAAATGCAGAAAAGCCCATGAAAAGATGATGTTAAACATTGTCAACCATTAGATATGCGAATTAAAACCCCAGTGAGATATCATTTACACACCCATCAGAATAGCCTAAATGAAACAGGAGCACTGTCAAGTGCCTGTCAGGATGTGGAAGAAACGACGGATCTCATTCATTGCTGCTGGGAATGTAAAATGGTCCCGCCACTTTGGACCAGTTTGGCAGTTTCTTCTAAGGCAACACACCACCACCACATGGCAATTTAATTCTTAGACATTTGTCCCAGATAAATGAAATGTATGTTCACACAAAAACTGTACATGAGTTTTCAGAGCAGCTTTATTTGTAAACACCATAAACTGGCAACAACCAAAATGTGCTCCTACAGGTAACTGGTTGAACACACTGGCATAGCCGTACAGCAGCAAAAAGGAATGAACAACTGATATATGCAACAGCTTCAATGCATCTCAAGGCAACTGAGTGGAAAAAGCCAATCTCAGAAGGTCACAAACTATGCTTTTATTTGTATAATACTAGAGGCCTGATGCACGAAATTCGTGCATGGGTAGGATCCCTAGGCCTGGCTGGCGATCAGGGCCGATCCGAGGGGCGACTGGCAGGGCGATCGGGGGGACCCCCCCACTGGCACCTGCCTTGGCCGGCCTAGTGACACCTGGTTGTGGGCCCCACCCCCGCCTGTTGCCCCCCCTCTGCAGGGCGACCAGTGGGGCGATGGGACCCTGCTGGCACCTGCCTTGGCTGGCACGGGGCCTACAGGCAGCTTCTGTGTTGAGCGTCTGCCCCCTGGTGGTCCGTGTGCTCCCACAGCCAACATCCTGTGTCCAGCCAACTGCCATGGTCCCTGCGGCCAGCCCCAATCAACCCCTGGTGCTAAACCATTTGCAGATGACCTGCTTCTGATTGGGGTTTCGTACTAGCAGAGCAGCTCCCTCGCTCCGGTCTATTGAAAGCCAGCCCTCAACACAAGGGTTTGTCTCACTCCTGTCCTCTACCTTCCTTGGGGGCCACCCGCCCAACTGCCACAGTGCCAGCGCAGTGGAGAGGGAAGGAGGATCTCACTCCCATCCTCTCCCTTCCCCAGGGGCCGCCTGCGGTGGCAAGGGAAGGAGTGGAGGCGGGGAATCGTGAGGTGGCCAGACGCCTGGCCCAATAACCACTGCCTCCTCTCCTGACCCCACCAATGCACGAATGTCATGCACTGGGCCTCTAGTAATAAATAAAAAACCAAAACAACCCTAAGGGGCACAGGAAGCTTTCAGAGGTGATGTTTATTACCCCGTATGGTGAACTATATACAATAAAGATGTGCAGTGTTTGTTTTTTTAAGTATGTTTTTGATTTAAGAGAGAGAGAGAGAGAGAGAGAGAGAGAGAGAGAGAGAGAGAGAGAAACATCAGTTGCCTCCTGCACACACCCCAACTGAGGTTAAAACCTACAATCTGGGTTTAGTATTTTTTTTTTAAATATATTTTATTGATTTTTTTACAGAGAGGAAGGGAGAGAGATAGTTAGAAACATCGATGAGAGAGAAACATCGATCAGCTGCCTCCTGCACACCCCGTACTGGGAATGTGCCCACAACCAAGGTACATGCCTTTGACCAGAATCGAACCTGGGACCCTTAAGTCCGCAGGCCGACGCTCTATCCACTGAGCCAAACTAGTTAGGGCTGGGTTTAGTATATTTCAATGAAGTTGTTAAAAAATATTTCTACCTTTTTCCACTTTAACGTGGACATTAGAAAATACAAAACCACACCCATGGCCTGCATCATGTTGGGACTCTAGATGGACAATGCTCTAGAGCAGCAGTTGCCAACCTTTCGGACCTCTTGGACCTCATGGACCACCGGATGGTGACCTAGAGAAGGGGTGGGGAACATTGGGCCCTCAGGCCGTATAAGGTCCTCGAAATCATTTGGTCTGGCCCTCCCAAGGCATAGGGGTGAGTTAATTATTTTACCAAATACAGCAAGCTAATTTTTAAGTTGATAATTTTGTATGGCCTGCAAATGATGTTATACATATCCAAATGGCCCTTGGCAGAAAAAAGGTTCCCCACCCCTGTTCTAGAGGGACAATCAGTGATAGTCACCATCTACTGAGAGCAGCATACTAAGACCCTGGGTTTGGGAACTTCCCTGTATATTTTATTCATCAATGTAACGTTTTCTCGAACAAATACAGTGAAAATCAATTTCAATGGCTATTATATCAGAAAGACTCAGAACCTTGAATTCTTATTTGCCAGGTCTTGGTTGAGGGCTGTAACAACCTTGAAAAAAATTTCAGGGTAACATCTTTACTGAAGTTACATTTTGTTTTAATCTGACAGATCACCTAACCCAAAAGGCCACACCAATTAAATGACATCCAGTTTTACTTTGATGTTCATAGCTGCCAGTTCAGCTACAAAATACCGAAAAACGTAAGGCACAGAAACAGTGTCGATAGTGTCACTGCGATTGCACACAGTACAGTTGTATTTTCTGTTGCGCATGGCTGACCACGAAGGGGGCGGCTTCTCCAACAACGGAGAGAGCAGACTGCCACACTTCACGCACACATGGGCTACCGACCGGTCAGAACAGTTAAAGAGGCGGTCGTGAAGGAGAAAAGAAGTTCCGTGAGCTAACAGAGCATCCCTCTCCATTTCCCCAAAACGGATCCCACCCTGGACGTTTCTCCCCCCGATGGGCTGGTTAGTGACTCTGTCTCTGGCTCCGGTGGTTCTGACCTGGAATTTGTCTGAGACCATGTGGCGTAACCGCTGGTAATAAACCACGCCAATGAAAATATCTGCTTCCAGTTCCACCCCACTGATGCCACTGTACAGCCTCTCAGTGCCATAGAAGTTGTAGCCAGCAGCCTTCAACATCTCACCGAAGTACTCCAAGGCCGAGTTCTCCTCTGAAAAGGTGAAGGGTGTGGCATCATGGCAGAGACCATGCAGAGCGGCAGACTTGCCCGCCATGCTCTCGATTAACATACCAATAGTCATTCGGGACGGGAACCCGTGAGGGTTGAACAGAATGTCTGGGACCATCCCACTTTCGGTAAAGGGCATGTCCTCGGTTGGCCACAGTCTGCTCAGGATGCCCTTCTGCCCATGCCGGCTGGCAAACTTGTCTCCAATGGTTGGGTTCCGAGGGATTCTCATCGTGATGCAAACACATTTAAATTTTCCACTTCCAGTGTCATTACTACACACTTTGATGTTGTCCACAATGCAATTTTCTTTACTCCTAGGAAAAATTAAACCATATAAAAGGTCAAACTATTTCTTTAAGCTTATAGAGGCATATAAGTTTTATATATAACTAGTGCTTTATAAAGGATTCAAAAAACAGTCTTATCTTTCTTTTCCCTGAAAGTATCTATGAATAGGGCTGCTGGTTATATTAACTACAGAACTCTGTTCCTCTGAACAACTATTATGAAAGTACTAAAGGACTGGTCCACGAATTCATGCACAGGTGGGGGCCCTCAGGGTGGCCTGCAGGGATTGGGCCCAAACCAGCAGTCCAACGCTGATTGCTGCTCCCACTCATTCCAACCCCGCTGTGCCTGCCGCAGTCAGTCCCAATTGGGAGAGGCTCACACTGCAGCAGCAGTGCTTGCCAGCTGTGAGCCCTGCATCTGGCGCCCATCCCGTGGAGGGTGGGCGGGGGGCCGAGATGCGATCGGCCCTCTGGGCAGGGGGTGGGAAGCCCTTGCTGGCCCAGGATCTGGATCTGTTCCACTGACGTTCACACCAGTGTTCATGCCAGTTGTTGGGAGTCACCTAGTGGCCACTTTTATATCATTTCTTCCTTCCGGAGTGTCTAGGGAGGAGAAGCAGCCGCGGTGCCTGAGGCTGACTTCCAGGAGGCCTGCAGCACTGTCGGGATCCTGCCAGCGGCGCCAGTCCATTGATGCCTGGCCCGTTCTCCGGAGATCGGACCTGCAGGACTACTGAGGGAGTGAGTGGCTGCTACTGGGCTGGTGGGCCACCGGGAAGAGTTGGTCAGCTGAGCGGGCTCTCGCTGTGGGAGTGCACTGACCACCAAGAGGCAGCTTCTGCGTTGAACGTCAGTGCACATCATAGCAACTGGTTGTTTGTCGCTTAGGCTTTTATATATACTATAGACTAGAGGCCCGATGCACAAAATTTGTGCAAGAGTAGGCCCTCGCAGCCCCGGCAGCTGCCTCAGCCCTTGCAGCCGCGGCTTCGTCCAGAAGGGTGTCCGGACCGTCGTTCCACTATTTGGCTATTCGGTCGATTTGCATATTATGCTTTTATTATAGATTATGAAGACCTACTGTTGAATCCACTCTTACAGATGTAAAATAAGCTAAAAATTTATTTTTAACAGGAGGCATAATAAAATTTTAGCTGGGAAGTATTCCTAACATGCATGAGAGAGATGATCAAGTCTCAATAATATACTTTTAAAATAAGCCGGGAGAACTCTCACAAATTATAAGAGACTGACAAGTAGAAAAGCAAAGGGAGTAAGACAACAAACTTTGTCTCATTTTGTAAATGCCAATTCAGTTACGATTGAGTATCACTTCTATTTTCTCCAAAAATTTCCTGTTAAAAGATTACTTTCAACAGCCCCCAGCAATTCACTAATAGCCTTTAAAATGAGCACCTGGCACTGCAACTTACTTGTAGAACATCACAGAGCTCTCGCCAGTGTTGAGGTTTACATAGCTGTAATAGGGATCTCCATACTGCAGCTGTGCTCCAATAAATGGCAATCCATCCTCATCTAACTTCTGCACAGTCCGAGGGTCACCAGGTTTGACTCCAAACACCAGATTATCATCTCCTTGTTTAATTTTTTCAGAGAGATCTATGAATTCAGATTTGTAGACACTTCCATGGGCAAAACCTCGTTCCCAAGAAGCCTTATTCACAATCTATGAAGTCAAAGAATCAAGGGAGTGCAGAAAAATGAGAATTTTTCAAAATAAAACTGGTCATAATTATACTTGGTTTAGGTTACCTGGCATTCGATTTAAAATCTATCCACATTTTCTCAGTCACCTACACTACTTAATTTATAAAACCCAAGCACTTAATTTATAATTAAATAGTCCAAAACCCAATCATGCACAAACACAAAAGGTAAAAATATCCAACACTACTTTATATTCACTCAACATTTATTCAACTACACAGGCAATATGCATGAAATACGCATATATGAATATTTAGTTCATAACCCTCAAGGCTACCACTTTTCTTTTTTTAAAAAATTAAATCTTTATTGTTCAGATTATTCCAGTTGTTCCTCTTTTTTCCCCCCATAGCTCTCCTCCACCAGGTTCCCAACCAACCCTCCTCCCTCACTCCCCACCCACTGTCCTCATCCATAGGTGCACAACTTTTGTTCAGTCTCTTCCTACATCCCCCACACCCCGTTCCCCCAAAAGAATAGTCAGTCCACTCCCTTTCTATGCCCCTGATTCTATTATAATCACCAGTTTATTCTGTTCATCAGATTATTTATTCACTTGATTTTTAGATTCACTTGTTGATAGATGTGTATTTGTTGTTCATAATTTGTATCTTTACCTTTTTCTTCTTCTTCCTCTTCTTAAAGGATACCTTTCAGCACTTCATATAATACTGGTTTGGTGTTGATGAACTCCTTTAGCTTTTCCTTATCTGTGAAGCTCTTTATCTGACCTTCAATTCTAAATGATAGCTTTGCTGGATAAAGTAATCTTGGTTGTAGGTTCTTGTTATTCATCACTTTGAATATTTCTTGCCACTCCCTTCTAGCCTTCAAAGTTTTCTGTTGAGAAATCAGCTGACAGTCGTATGGGTACTCCCTTGTAGGTAACTGACTGTCTTTCTCTTGCTGCTTTTAAGATTCTCTGTCTTTTGCTCTTGGCATTTTAATTATGATGTGTGTTGGTGTGGTCCTCTTTGGATTCCTTTTGTTTGGGTTTCTCTGCGCTTCCTGGACTTGCAAGTCTATTTCTTTCACCAGGTAGGGGAAGTTTTCTGTCATTATTTCTTCAAATAGGTTTTCAATATCTTGCTCTCTCTCTTCTTCTGGCACCCCTATAATTTGGATGTTGGTACGCTTGAAGCTGTCCCAGAGGCTCCTTACACTATCTTCGTATTTTTGGATTCTTTTTTCATTTTGCTTTTCAGCTTGGGTGTTTTTTGCTTCTTCGTATTTCAAATCTTTGACTTGATTCTTGCAGCCCTCTAGTCTGCTGTTGGAACTCTACATAATATCCTTTATTTCAGTCAGTGTATGCTTAATTTCTAGTTGGTCCTTTTACATAACCTCGAGGGTCTCACTAGATTTCTTGAGGGTCTCACTACATTTATCGGCGGTCTCATCAGTCTTTTTGAGGGTCTTACTAAATTTATTGGCAGTTTCTAGAAAGTTCTTGAAAAACCTTAAAAGTGTGGTTTTGAACTCTATATCCAGTCGTTTGCTTTCCTCCATTTCTGTCATTTCTGACCTGTTTCTTTGTCTCCACATTTTTTATGCTTACCTGTGTTGGTAGAGTGGCTTTGTGTGCTAGGTGTCCTATAGGGCCCAGTGGCTCAGCCTTCCCAATTACCTGAAGTGGACACTCTTGGTTCATCCCTTTGTGGGCTTTGTGCACAGTCTTGTTGTAGTTAAGCCTTGATTGTTGTAGGTATCACTGGGAGGAATTGACCTCCAGGCCAATTGGCTGTGAGAGTCAGCTGTGTCTATGGTGGGAGAACTTCTGTGCTGAAGACACCCTTATGAGGCAAGACTTGCTTCAGTGGGGTTTTGGTGCTGAGTCTGTGCCCTGAGTGTGTCCCTTATGGATCTGAGGAGTTGTAATCTGGATGGTCCCACTCTGACCACTGGGTACACTGGCTCTTGGATCTAAGGAGGTGCTAATTTAGCCTCTGCCTGAGGCTACCCAGCAGGAGCTATGAAGAGATCTGCAGATTCCCCTTCCTTCTTTGGAGTTTGGAGGTGCCCTAATGAGGCCCAGCTGTGAAGCAATGCAAGCTGCTGTGGGGCCTTGGGCCTTCTCTTGGAAGTTCTGGGTCTGTCTGGCCCAGCTGCAGTTTGTTAGGTAATTTTCAGATTGCAAAGGGTCAGGGTCTCAGGGAATCAACAGGGCAGAGCAAGCAGCTATGGCTAATCCTCAGCCCTGCCCTAAGGGGCCCCGCATCTCAGTGTCCCGGTAATTGGTAATCACTGCAAGCACCTTTGAGAGAAAGCCGCCCTCGAGTTCCGAGTTCTGCCCGCTGCCAGACAGTCTAGTTTCTCCCTGTATGAGTCCTGGGTCCCCAGAGACTCACCCGGAACTGGAGTTCAGAGCAGTCGGGGGCTTGTGACTCCCTCCCTATTCAAAACGACAGCCGTGTCCTCAGTTGCCAGCCCTTGCCGTGTGGGCCTCCGTACCTCTGCACTTCCGCACCTCCTCTGAGTCTCAGTGTGCTTTTCTCTTTCCTTCTAGTTGTAGAATTTCCACTCAGCCAGCCTTCCTGTGGTTCTGGATGATATTTGTTTTGTCTTTTAGTTGTATTTTTTTTTAATATATATTTTATTAATTTTTTTACAGAGAGGAAGGGAGAAGGATAGAGAGTTTGAAACATTGATGAGAGAGAAACATCGATCAGCTGCCTCCTGCACACCTCCCATTGGGGATGTGCCTGCAACCAAGGTACATGCCCTTGACCAGAATCAAACCCGGGACTCCTCAGTCCTCAGGCAGACGCTCTATCCTCTGAGCCAAACCAGTCAGGGCTAGTTGTATTGTTTAATTTGTTGTGGGAGGCAGCAATTTCCGGTGTTTACCTCTGCCGCCATGTTGGTTTCTCCAAGGCTACCACTTTTCATTCAGAGTAGGGACTGACCATTTAACAGGACACTCACTCACCAAATACTAGGCACTCGAGGACACAGTGACCTCACAGTAAAGTTAAATTTTAAAATTAAATATTAAAAGAATGGAACTACTCTTGGTAAAACTTACCATGGCATCTTCCATATCGTAGCCAGTGTAAGAAATAACAGCAACGATGGCATTGGTCCCAATTGGATAGTTGTCCATGTCATAGTGATCATACATGCACGGCCTCACCAAAGGGCTTTGTGGGGTCTGAAGACGATACAGCTTATTATCAGATCGGTCTTGATAAGTGAGAAGTGGGAAGCCCATAGTTTGTTTACCTACAAAGGGAAAAACACCTTAGCCTTTTGTTTTTCCCTTGATTATAAAGGTGATATTTAAAATTGGGAGCAACTAAATATTCACCATAGAGGAATGAACAGATCAGTCATGGTGGTTATGCTTTATAGTGTGAAGATGAACGAACCTGCATGTATCACAACCAGACCATGAAAACAGTGCTGAGAGGGAAAAAGGACAGAAACTCATTTAATATGATACCATTTATGTATATCTATGTAACACACCCCAAACAATTCTATATCTGGTTTATGGACACATATATTATAAAAAGGGGATGTTACTGGGAAAGAGTAAGGGTATATGAGGAGAGTAGCTATTATTTAATAACTTAAAAAAAATTTTATTTATTGATTTTAGAGGAAAGGAGAGGGAGAGAGATAGAAACATCAATGATGAGAGAAACACCATTGATTGGCTGCCTCCTGCACGCTCCAGAATAGGGATTGAGCCCGCAACCCAGGCATGTGCCCTTGACCGGAATGCAACCCGGGACCCTTCAGTCCACAGGCCAATGCTCTATACACTGAGACAAACTGGCTAGAGCTCTAATTACTTTCTTACACACAAAGCAAAATGCCACTATTTGTTAATTCTGGGTACTGGCATACAGGGGGTAGGTAAGAGTCTTCTTTATTCCACTTCTCAGTACAGAGAATCAATTCAACACAAATGACTTTTTAAAAGAGATTTTAAAATTGATCTTTAGAGAGAGAGGAAGACACAGGGAGGGAGAGAGAGAAATATCGACGTGAGAGCAAAACATCTATTGGCTGGCTCTTGTACACCACCTACTGCGGACTGAGCCCAAAACCTGGGCATGTGACCTGACCGGGAATTGAACTGGCAATCTTTGGGTTCATGAGAGGACACTCAACCAACTAAGCCATACTGGCCAAAGCTCAACCAAAATGATTTTAAAAACTAAAATAAATATACATGCCTAGTGGAATTCTTTAAAATACAGAAACAGAGACTTCCAGCTTCCAGTTACAGAGGGTTCCTTCTTCACAACCACCCTCAGCACATAAGACCCAGGGGGGAAAAAAGTAACCACAAACAAATATACACACCAGCTGAAAGTATTGTAAAGTAACCAAAATCAGTCAGAAACTAGAGTGGAATTTATATTCGGGCAAAAGAAACTGCAATGGGTGTATTTCCAGGTCAGGTTTTGTTCTGTGGTTTGTTTGTTTTTTTGCCTAATGGCCAAGTGTAGTGCCTAAAACTTGGACAGAAACCCATAGTCTGACTGGCTTTAAGAACCAAGAAACATAAGAGTTCACAGCACTACAGCAACTAAAAACTGAGGGTGGGGAGAGGGTGGAAGGGAGGGATTTCAGAAAGGAGAGAACCACACAGGGAAAGCCTTAAATTCTACATATGAACCAATCCCAGATCTTTGGTGGAGTCCTGAATTACACATGCATGGAACATTTCCAAGCAGCCCTCAAAAGTGACTTCAGCTGCTTTGTTTAGCTAAGTTATCTATCAGTTAAATCTAAAAACCAATCCTCCTCAAAGGAACATAACAGAATCCATGGTCTTCAAAACATATCACTTGTTCACAATGTTCATGATATGATCCAATATTACTAGATATAAAAGACACAGAGAATCAATACCCATATTCAAGAAAAAAATGCAATGAATGGAGACATCTGAGATGACCCAGACATTGGAATTAATAGACAATGATTTTAAAACACTGGTTGTATAACTGCTCAAAGATATAAAAGAAAATATGTTCACAATGAAGATGAAATTCTAGAGAAAATTAAAACTATAAAAAAGAAACAGATGGAAATTTTAGGCTAGAAAATGAAGTATCTGAAATAATGTGGTGGTTCCATGGTGTAATGGTTAGCACTCTGGACTCTGAAATAGAATAAAAAGTCTGAATATGATGACAGATGAATAAAAATGATTCAATGTGAAGAGAAAAAGATTAAAAAAAGAGAAAAGAAACCAATGGTTGATGGAACAGCAATGATTAACATACATGTTGCATAACAAATCTCAGGAGACAGAATGGACAGCAGCAATTTTTTAGAAACAATGGCAGAAAACTTTACAAATTTAAAACAAGCAAACAAACAGATTTAAGAAGGCCAGCAAATGCAAAATAAGACAAACACAAGGAACATCATATGTAGGCATACCATAGTCATTCTGTTACAAACCAAAAAATAAAGAGCAAATCTTAAGACAGAGAAAAAAGTAAAACTTAAAAACAGGGAAACAACCTAAAACTGACAACTTCTAATTAGAAATGAGAGACCAAGAGTAGACAGCTAGCCTGGCCAGATAGCTCAGCTGATTGGAGCGTTGTCCCATACACCAAAGGTTGCAAGTTTGATTTCCTGCCGGAGCACATACGTAGGTTGCAAGTTCGATTTCTGGTCAGGGTGAATATGGGAGACTGCCTATCGATGTTTCTCTCTATATAAAAATATCCTTCTGTGAGGATTAAAAAAAGAGTACACAGCTCAAACAGTATTTCATGTGACAGAAAAAAATCTTGTCAAACCAGAACTGTATACCTAGTTCCTTCAAGGGAAGAGGAAATAAAGATATTTCAAAGCAATAAAAACTAAGAAAATTTTAGCCAGCAACTGGCAACAGTGACAAATGCTAAAGAAAGTTTTCAGGCCTAAGGGAAATTACACTCCAGGAAAATGAAACCATGTATTTGATACAATTAGTCAAGTCTGAATAAGCACTACAGAATAGTATGGTACTATCAGGCAGGAATGAACAGCACTGGAGAGAGAATGACTGTGGACGGCCTGTAGTTGTCAAAAATGGAATCTCAAGATCTCAGACCAACCCAAGTCGTTGAACATTTACAAAATTACCTTTTTCTTCAAAAGTGTCAATAACAAGAAAGACAAAGAAAGACAAAAGTTATGTTCTAACTTAAAGAAGACTAAAGAGACAATGGAATACAATGTGCAATTTTGGACTAGGTACTACATAGAAAAAATTGCCAGAAACCCTATTTATGGCCAACCAGTATGGTTCAGTGGTTGAGCATTGCCCTATAAACCAGGAGGTCACAGTTCGATTCTCAATCAGGGCACATGCCCAGGTTGCAGGCTTGATCCCCAGTAGGGGGCGTGTAGGAGACAGCTGATAAATGACTCTCTCATCATTGACATTTCTATCTCTCTGTCCCTCTCCCTTCCTGAAATCTATAAAAATATATTAAAAACAAAACAAACAAAAACCCCCTATTTTTGGTACAACTGGTCAAAGTCTGAATCAGACCCATAAAGTAGTATAATAAGCCCTAGCTGGTTTGGCTCAGTGGATAGAGTGTTGGCCTGCAGACTGAAGGATCCTGGGTTCGATTCCAGTCAAAGGCACATACCCAGGTTGCAGACTTGATCCCCAGGGTGTGCAGGAGGCAGCCAATCAATGATTCTCTCTTATCATTGATGTTTCTCTCTCTCCCTTCCTCTCTGAAATCAATAAAAATATTTATTTTTTAAAAAGTATAATACCAATGTTAAATTTCCTGATTTTAATTATCCTTGTTTATACAAGTGAAAATCCTTATTTAGATACAGACACTGAAATATTTAGGGGTAAAGGGACATCAAGCCTGCAACTTACCTTCAAATGGAAATAGTACAAACAGACCAAAATATTAACAAAATGTTGGTAAAGGGTTTATGGGTGTTCTCTGTACCAGTCTTACAACTTTTCTGTATTTGAAATTATTTCAAAGTAAAATAAGTAACAAACATGTCTCTTTTGTGAGTGTGGTTGCTACCATCCCCATGCCACTTACCCATCTGGCACTGGTACATGTTCCTTGGACTCTGGTTGTGATCGGAGAAAGGGATAAAGTTGGCGATCACACTCAGCAGGCTGTGAGGGAAGAGTTCCTGGTGGGTGGTCACTCCAGCAAAAACCTCATCCTCGAAGATGGCAATATTCATGAAGAGCTGGAGAGAAGGATGGATGCCAACACATTAACTCTTTCTGAATTCAGTACTCAAAGACTTGAAAGGAACCTTCCCACCTGGTATAGTGAACACTGAAGGGACCCACAGGAAGCCTCAGTCAGAACGACCACTTGCCTTTCATACCTCATTATAAATCTACCCTAGACCAATTATGAAGAGGCATTTGAAGAAAGACATTTTTTAATTTTTATTTTTAAAATATATATTCTTTTATTGATTTCAGAGAGGAAGGGAGAGAGAGAGAGAGAAACATCAATGATGAGTGAGAATCACTGATCTGCTGCCTCCTTCCTGCACGCCCCCTACTGGGGATTGAGCCTGCAACCCAGGCATGTGCCCTTGACCAGAATCAAACCTGGGACCTTTCAGTCCATAGGCTGGTGCTCCATCCACAGAGCCAAACCAGCGAAGTAAAGAAAGACATTTTTAAAGTAGTACAAAGCGCAGAGCTTTGCAACTGCAAAGAGGCAGGGAAAGACTATGCATGAGGGAATGGTCCAGCCTCAGCATCCGAAGGAGCTTGGGATGCAGGTGACGAGACACCAGCCTTCTCAGGCTCAATGGTGGGCGGAGTGAGGGGACACATGAAAACTGCTTCCCGCTGGGCACAGAGGAAGCAGAAGTAGTTCTGGCTTTCTTTCAAGTGCCAAATTGTTATTAAACAGTAACACTTAAAGAAAGCAACAGTTGCCCTAGCCAGTTTTGCTCAGTGGTTAGAGTGTTAAGCACAGGCCTGTGGACTGAAGGGTCACAGGTTTGATTCTGGTTAAGGGCATATACCTGAGTTCCAGGTTCGATCCCTGGCCCCAGTCAGGGCCCATGTGTGAGGCAACCAATCGATGTGTCTCTCTCACATCAATGTTTCTCTCTCTGTCTCTCCTCTTCCCTTCAACTCTCTTTAAAAACGAATGGAAAAAATATCCTCAGGTGAGGATTAACAAAAAAAATAATAATTAACAGCTGAAGTCTGTGGAAGTTGTATATGACACAATCAGTCCACACACAGTCCACATACCTGCTCCATAGTTCCAATCAGCTCTTCTTTGCCCAATTCCAAGTTTCGCACAGGCCGCACCAGCCTACAAGGAGTGGTGAAAAGGTACAGTCCTGGGTACAGACTTGGTTTTCCTGTCATGGGGACAAGGGCCACCTCCATCCAGGGAGGGATTCTTTTTTCTCTCAACACCTGTTTTCAACAAAAAAGAAAGTTCAAACCAGAATGACTAATATGTTTTACATCTACCCTGACACCCGGGAAGCAGGCAGAATGGGGGAGGAGGTCAAATATGAAAAGTAGATCTTAAGAATTTACGTTCGTTATGCAGGTAACAAACATAGTGCCCTGCCAGTCTCATCTTCTCAGAGAATACCATTCACCCCACACCCAGAGTCGGCAAAAGCTCTACTTTCTTGGGGACTCAGCCTCACTATCAGGCAAACTGGTAATGAATTAAGACTGAGACTGTGGGAAAGGTAACTCAAGAATGTGCATGTAGACATATTAAACAAAATTCTGTTTTCTGATGTCTAAATTATAGAGTACTGGTTTTGTTTTGTTTTAATCCTCACCCAAGGATATTTTTCCCATTGATTTTTAGAGAGAGGAGAAGGGAGGGAGGAGGGAGAGAGAGAAACATTGACCAGTTGCTTCTTTCATGCACCCCAACTGGGGCCAGGGACCAAACCTGCAACCGAGGCACCAGCTTTTGACCAAGAATTGAACCCTGACCCCTCAGTCTGTGGGTCAATGCCCCAACCACTGAACCAAACCGGCCAGGGCTGGTTTTATTTTAAAATGTATTTAATGAAAAGGCCCTTCTACCTGGGTATTAAGAAGCAAAACAACAACAACAAACTTCTATTAATTAACTCCTGGGTGAAAGGAAAAATACAAACCAAAATTACAGGAAATTTGAAAACATATAACAAGACCTATGTATCAGAATTTATGGGGATTCACAAACACATTACCAATAAAAAATGAAAGAATGAACAAAAACGAATTAAATTCATAAATCAAAAGTTAAGAAACCTCAACAGAGTTAGAAAGCTTAAAGACTGATTTCCACATTAGAAATAAAGGTGTCTAGCCCTGGCCAGTGGTGCTCAGTGGTTAGAGTGTTGGCCAGAGCACCAAAGGGTCCCGGGTTCGATTCCAGATCAAAGGCATGTACCTGGGTTGCGGCTTTGCTCTCTGCCCCCGGTCAGGGCATGTGTGGGAAACAACCAGTCTATGTATCTCTCTCACATCAATGTTTCTCTCTCTCTCTCTCTCTCTCTCTCTCTCTCCTCCTTCCACCTTCCCGCCCACTCTCTGAAAAGCAATGGAAAAAATATCCTTAGGTGAGGATTAAAAAAAACAAAGAAATAAAGATGTCAAGAAAGCACCCTCAAACCAAGTACCATAACCAAATGATCTCACGGGAATTCTCACAGACCTGCCACCAGGTGGCCCAATGTTCCCACACTGCTCCAGAGCATTCTTTACAAATGTTGATTTTAAAAACCTTAATAAATTATTGACATTTGAGAAAGTATCAGTACTTCTTAAATAGAGAAAATAACACATAGACAATAGGGTGGTCAATGCCTGGGGGGAATGGGGACAGGCTAGCAGGGGTCAATGGGGGAAAGAGGGGGACATATGTAATACTTTCAACAATAAAGATTAAAAAAAAAATAACACAACACGACCAAGTGGGATTTATTCCAGGAATTTAAGACTCATTATTCATCGCTATTATTAGAGAATGATCATTGTTAGGGAATAAATTAATATCATACACCTAATCTGTCTAAGGGGAAAAAATCTTACAATTTTTCTTCAAAGATGCCAAAAATTAAACACAGAATCCCATATGATCCAGCAATCCCACTTCCAGGTATACACTCAAAAGAACTGAAAGCAGATTCAAACAGAAATTTGCACATCCATGTTCACAGCAGCATGATTCATATAAGCCAAAAGGGGGAAGTGACCCAAGTGCCCATCGATGGATGATGGACAAGCACATGTGGTCTATGTGGTTACCAGGAGCTGGGAAAGGGCAGATGGCAAGGTATTGCTGAATGGGCATAGAGTTTCAGTTTTGGACCAGGCAAAAGTTTGGAGGCTGGATAGGGTGATGGTTGCACAACAATATGAATGTACTCAATGCCACAAAAAAAGGTTAAATTTTACGTATATTTACAAAAACAACACAAAACCAACCCTACAGGGACCAGGGGGTCAAACCTGATACAATCTATTTATTTAAAAGCCTAAGCAACCGAAAAACCAAATGATCGGTAGCTATGACGTGCACTGATTACCAGGGGGGCAGATGCGCAACACAGTGGGAGTGCCACTCAGCTGATCAAGGGACGCTGGCAAGCACAGCTGCAGCAGTGTTGCGGAGGCGTGAGCCTCTCCTGTCTCCGCAGCCGCACTACTGAGCAGTGGCGGGCAGGCGCAGCGGGGCCAGGATGAGTGGGAATGGTGCGGTGCCGGCCCCAGCTGCTTCAGCCCATGTGAGAGGGCGCAGGCCAGGCTGAGGGACCCCACCGGTGCACAAATCTGTGCACCAGGCCTCTAGTATGAACATAAAAATAAATAATAGTAACACAATATTCACAAAATAAAACAAGTATCTATAAATCTGATGTAAATAAATGAATAAATAAATGGAAGAGAAAGGAAAGCTTTCCCTTACAGAATGGCAACTAACAAACAGGACAAATGATAGGGTTAGAAAACAACTACTTGGCAACCATAACAGTACTAATTAACACAGCAAAGACTCATCAATGGAATAGTAATAATTCTGCAGAGAATAGAATACAAACTGTGGGTGAAAATTTAATGAGGAAAAGGGCTTCCAAATATTTCTCCACAAATTACTGATGAGAGAAAATCTGTAACAGTACAGTAGATTAACTTAAAAAATACAGCTGTGAAGTGATCGACATTGACATCACTGGTCACGGGACAAGCCAACATCACATGCCTCCTGAAAATGGTATTGTGAATCTTGCCATGAGGAAGTGACACATGACCATAATTAAGGGTCAGTCTACACAATAGCTGGCCTTTACTCTTTTTTTTAAGTTTATTTTTTATTGTTGACAGTATTACAGATGCCCCCTACCCCCCTGCCTCCCCCAGCATCTGCTCCACTCCAGCTATCATCACACTATCGTCTGTGTCCATGGGCTATGCATATAAGTTCTTTGGTTAACCTCTTCCCCTTCCCTCCTTCCCACCCGGATCTGTCAGTCTGTTCCATGCATCCATGCCTCTGGACCTATTTTGTTCATTAGATTCCACATAGAAATGATATCATGTGATATTTGTCTTTCTCTGACTGCTGGCCTGTACTCTTTAAAAAAGTCAAGACATGAAAGGCTAGGAACTATTCCAGAATAAAAAAGAACAGAGACATGACAACTACATGTAACACATGATTCTGGAGTGGGTCCCAAACCAGGAAGAAAAAATAGCTATAAAAGCCATTACTGAGGCAACTGCTGTAATCTGAGTGTCAGCTGTGGATTCTAGCAAACTGACCCTCCCTGAATTTGGTAAGTGTACTATGGCTATTAAAGAGAAAAAGTTAGAAAAAATACACTGAAATTTTTATGGAAATGGAGACATGTCTGCATGCCACCCTCAAATGGTTCAGAAGAAAAAATATATACATCTATACTAATAAAAGGGTAATACGCTAATTAGACCGGGTTGACCAGCCATCTTTCGGACATCTGACTTCCTTCCGGACAAAGCCAAGGTGGTCGGGGCCGATGCAGAGGCAGTTAGGGGTGATCAGACTGCAGGGGAGGGCAGTGGGGGCGAGATCAGGCCAGCAGAGGGTTAGGGGCAATCAGGCTGGCAGAGGAGGGCAGTTGGGGGTGATCAGGCAGGCAGGCAGGCAAGCTGTGAGAGGGATGTCCCCGATTGGAGAGGGTGCAGGCTGGGCTGAGGGACCCCCCCCCCCCCCCACACACACACATGAATTTCATGCATCGGGCCACTAGTATATTTATGGGCCACTAGTATATTTATAAAGAGCACACAAATGATAATTGGTGGATCTGGTTAATGGGCATATGGGAGTTCTCTGTGCCAAGACTCTTGTTAGGAGGAAATGCCAAAGAATGTCCCTCTCCTTGATCTTTTAATAATATATTTTCAAGACCCAGACAGCAACAGGATATGTATGACTTACATATCTTGCATATCTTTAACATTACTTGAAATATAAAGTTCATATTTTGATGTCCCCTACATGCCACTAGAATTTACAAAGAAAAGTTAAAATCTGTTAGTTAGCAGACTAGGGCTTCAGTGAAACTACTACTAAAAAAAAAAAAAAAAAAGTGTATGGGTGAAATATCTGTCACTGACCCCAACCTCTAGGGCTATGAGGTCAGTACCAGGGGAGGTCAGGTACTCTCAAAATGAGCTCTGACCCCCAGGCCCATGAGTGCTCTAGACTGCCTGGACTACCTCATCAACTAGAAAAGGACCGAAACCCAAGATGCAGGGATAGAGCAATTCACAAAGACTCACGGTCACCTTAAAATGCCGGAGAGAAGCTGCAACACTAGCAGCAAGCTCCTTATCCACCCAGCCAACCATGACACCGTCCAGCAAGACAGGGTAGCACTCAGCGTAAGGTCGGTGAGGCGTTCCATCAACTGGAGTAACCCCTGTGGAAGGAACAGACAAGGGTCATCACATCAGGATGCCTTTCCAACTTAGAAATTCCCTCCAGATAGGTCTGCAGCTGTACCATCATTTAGATATCTAGTCATCTTGTCTCTAAACCAGAATGTTTTTTACTTCTTAAGTTTCCAAATCATTTCAGCAAGGACACATAAGAACTAGTGACCTGGCCTGTGGGGAGAGCAGCAGGGACAGGAGTGCAAGGAGGCTTTCACTGTGCACCTTTTCTATGTTCATTTCTGAGGGTTGTAAATATAACTTTTCCCCCAAATCTAATTACACTTGATCACCATTATTCAGATTCCCTATCTGCAAATTTGCTAAGATTGTCTGTAATTCCAGTATCAACAACTAACGGTGCTTTTGGGGCCACTCAGTGAAAAATCTGCATCACCTGCGCACAGGCTCCCAGCTATGGTCACACATGTCTTCCTGTCTCAGCTCAGACTGTCAACAAGCTTCCTCTGGGCCACGTGGATGCATGCTTGTGCCTTCTGCTGGCGGTTTCACTGTTTAATCGGACCCTGAACGCAGGGCTGGCCCGTGTGGCTGAGCACAGGCTGTGTAAGCCTCAGGAAGAGTGCGTGTTAGGGAAGCTTAATGCTGCCGGCAGAGACCCCGATGTTAGTGAATCACAACGTTAAATGAGGTGCCCCTGGGAGCAATGCCTCTTCCCTAAATTCGGGGTTAGTTGTGACTTTGTAAAACAGAATACCACAAACATCAAGAACCAACTGTAATTAAGTAAAAAAGAACACTCTTCCACAATCCATAATCCACCTCTGAAGACAGGAAGTGTTTTACCGAGTTCACAGGTTGCCCGCTTGGTGCTAGGCATTTTCCATTCTGTCTCCCCCAGGACCAGAGCCCTTCCCATCTCTTCTGCTTGGGATACACTCTCCACCTCTCCACAGTTTTTCCTTCTTTCTACGCTTTCCTGCACTCTGACATTTTAATCACTGGTGGCGAACAACATCATTTTTCCCTCGTGGACAGAGGACCTGCAGCACTTTACACTGGTTACGGCCTCTGAATCTCGAGTAATTCTGAATTAGTTGGACTCCCCTCTGAAAGGCCACGATCTAACTGGCAGAATACTTTTAAGCAGAAATTTCCTGGCTCTTGACTCAATGCCTTTCTGGTTGTTTGGAATGCCTACCACCTGAATCCTATGAACTGGAAGTTTTAGATTGTAAATACGAATTCCAGTGGAGACCCCACTCAGACCAGCAAAGACACAGAAAACTCTGTCTCCAGATCCCAAGAGTGAAGAATGCCCAAAGAAAGGGCATCATTATGGGTGAAGGTGAACCCGAACCCAGCACCACACCCAAAGAACAGCACTCAAGACAGCCTTCCAGCAAAAGCAGAGACAGCCGCCAGGCTCCCAGGAACAGGGCTGTGGGTCTGAGGACCTCCAGGTACAGAGTGGACAACCTCCTTTTTAACTGTCTTCCTGCAAAGTGACACTGCTTCCAGCTTAGAGCAGTGGCCGACCCAACAGGTGCAAGGAGAATGACTCAAAGGTTACTTCCCATATTAAATGCTGTTTGAAACCAGCCCAGTTCCTGCACAGATGAGTAAAATAAATTCCTGCAGAGAAGGCAGCATAACTGTGATAACACACACACAACGAGAATGTTACCCTGTCACATACCCAGGTTGCAGAGCAAAGCTGGAATAGATGCCGTGTATACAAACTGCGTGACCACCTCGCATATGGCAGTTAAGTGGTTCATCAGGCCGCAGGGCTCCCCATCAGGAGTGTGCACAGGACAAAGGAAACCCCAAGACTCCGGCAGCAGCCTGCGCACGGTGGTGGTCCTCATCTTGGCAAAGTCAGCCCCTCTGTGCACACAGCGGAAATGGGAGAGATAGCGGATGAAGTTCAGCTTATCAGCCACGACACAAAGTCCAGAATTTTGCAGGAAGCCAAGACCTTAATAAAACAAAAGTCATTCAAAAATGGGCTCAACTTGAAAAAAAATAAAGGTATATTGTTATGTGAGGCTCTGATGAAAAGCCTCAGAGCACACTGTAAGTCACGGAGTGGTGATTACAAAGTTCACTAGCTCAGGTGAGCAGGGATACTGTACAAAAAGAAGTAAAATCCCCAGATTTCACAAACTGTATCAGCCTTGCCTGGTTCCCTATCTCCTCCACATCCTCCACTGTGGGGAAACCATAAACAAAAAACAAAATAGCAAGTAATTAAATGGGATTCATCAGACAGGCTGATTAACACACAAGCAGTTGTCAGTTCTAAAAAAATCTGTATCAGTAGTAGCATCTATTTCAAAACTGCAGATTTCTGGGCCCTCAATTGCCAGAGTTGAGTTTTCTAAGTCATTCTGATGCAAGTGGTTTAGGGCTGAGCCACACAAGAACCCTCTCAGACCACCTGTTCATGCGACCTTCCTCAGACATGTTTAGTTTAGACAGAACTCTGAGCTGTCTTTAGTTTTCTAGGAGGCACAGGAAAATGTGATCATCAGAATTGGATTTAAACCATTCAGCACCTTGTCAAAACCCCTTCAGACTGATACGTAGTCAAAACTTATAACGTGAAATGTCTTTAGTGAAAGGGAAAAGCTCGCTTTTAAATAGAACCTCTCTTACTGATATAAACCTCCATTAAGCAAATAATTTGAAAAACACAACTAAAATGAAGACTATCTATTTTTTTGAAGCCTATCTATTTAATTTCACCTGTTTTGGAACGCAGATTCCCAGTAGCAAGAAGATACTCAAATGGTTTTGTAAGGTCTATTCCCAGACTTAAAATCTTCATCAAATTTTCACTGTTTATAGACATATTGGTCTTCTGAGCCTTCTTGTCCATACCTATTTTAACAGATACTAACCACGCTTCCATTTTTTCCTGAAATGAATAAATTACATGTTTACTTGAAAGGCTATATTGAAATTACCAATAACAGAAAACTTCTGCTTGATATTCATTTTTATCAGGGCAATTCTAGGCTGCTGAAAATTTTCTATCTAATTTCATGGTTAGAGCAGACAGAAACAAAAGTTTTTATCTTTCAGTAAGAATTTAAATAAGCATTACTGGGTAAATAAGGAATTAGGAGATTTTTACTTTAGTCTTCTCCATCTTTTATCCCACTACGTTATCTATTAGATTAAATCATTTTAGGGATAATATTCAAAATATGAAATACCACCAAATGAACTTACTGATGAACTGATCTGTGCTATGCCAACACTCTTCTACACACACACACACACACACACACACACATACACACACACACACGGCTCTCGTGACTGACAGTAACTATGCTCTGTAATGTTGCTGTGAACACTGAATTAGCAGGTACTAAGCCTTTGTCTAGGTACAGACAGGATTAGGTTCCTCCAAGTCTCAAGTCACAACATTCTAGTCAACTGAGAAATACGTAAGCTGGTTTTGTGTGTTTCTGTTGAAAGATGCCTTGTTTTATGTTGCTGATGTACTACCATCAGCCTCACAGCCAGCAGCACTGTAACTCGTGACTGACAAAGCTCATCTAACGCTCGTATGTTCTCGTAAGGCACATCCAAGCCTTCCTGTGCTCAGCACCTCACACAGCACTTCAGCACTATGCTTGTGGGCCATTTTTAAACAACAAAATCACCAAGAAAAACACAAAAATGTGAAAAACATGGTACTAAATAAATAGACTCTCGTTCACAGCAGGAGCTGAAGCAAGGCAGAGCATCACCTCCTAGACCTCAGCTGGGAGTGTGGGCATCAGGACACCCCAATGATTAGCCCTCCAAGCACATCTGCAAAGGACCAGGAGAGCTGTGAATACTACTGATACTGGGCTTACAAGTAAACCTCAGTGAGGAGGGGAATTTGTAACAGGGACTCTGCAAAGGAGGGCTGACCGTCACTATATGCATACAGGCCACTTACACTTTATCATCAATGTCTGACCAAGATTTGATGTTGTCTTTACTTAGCTTACATGAAAATATCAGACATTTTTGAACCTGGTACAAGCTAGGACGTTTGATTCTGTACCTTTCTGCTAGGCAAACAAACAACAAATAGAAAAAAGAGAAGATGTACACTGCCAAAACAAGAACTTATGAACATGCACAAAACTACATCATGGGGTGTCATCACCTCAATCCAGAGGTACAATGGGGCCCGGGGGAAAGCAGTGTGCACCCACCTTCAGAAACATGAGGAAGAGCTGCCCGGGTGTGAGCACTTCCTGATTCACTAAACTGTCAGGATTCTCCTCCATGCACTCTCCCTTGGCCAAAGCAAATAGCTTCCGGGTCATGAGACAAAGTACATAAAACTTCTCAGTATTAGATTTCAAGTGGATACAGATACACTGGCTGTCAAAATAGAAAGAAAAAGCTTAAAATGATTCATCTGCTTACCACTACTTGCCATTCTACTAACCAAGGCCCCCAATTCATGTTTACTTAAAAATCTTTACTCATATTCAGAAAAATCCCTTTTCATCTTACAGCAACATCAGCAAAAGAGCAGAATATAGTCTCAAACAAGGTCTACAGCGGTGTTGGCCAACATGGTAGTGACAAGCCACAAGGACTATTTTAAATATTAATTAAAATGGGATAAAATTCAGAACTGTTACTCAGTTGCACTGGCCATTCAAGCACTCAGCATGGCCCACAGCTGGGCACTGGACCACGCTGACCTACAGCAGGTCCCAAAGACAGAGCCCTTGTCTTGGGAAAATAAAGGGACATGATGCCTGCAACTTTCAAATGGTCAGAAGGAACAACACTTACTCATGTGCAGACAAGTAAAGCAAATATAGTAAAAGTGTTAATAGTCAACATGAGTGTCCAATGTACTATCTTTGCAGCAATCCTGGAAGTGTGAAGTTATTTCAAACTAAAAGTTAGAAAGTACATTAGAATAAAACGATACTACCTAAAACCAGAGAAAGGTGAAGATGGCCACAGAAACAAAGCTAGCCCGCTTCGCCAGGCCAAAATTCAACCCGCGTGACTCCCCAGTCCCAACCACATCAACACAAAGAACCAGCGACACCCCCCACCCCCAGTAAACAGTGTAGGCAAAAGCACGCATACTTAAACAGAAACTCTGCTGCTTGTTCATTTGAATACCAGTCAGGGAGACTGAGCTTTACTCTGAAGCGTTCACCTAGATAGGTAAGGACCTGCTTCTGTGTGGAACAACCTTCATCCATCACCATCCTTAACATCTGAGTAACAGAGTTCCTAAAGAAAGAGTTGTCCTCTTTTCCTTTGATGAGCTCCTGAAAAATCTGGTAATCGGAAAAGCTGACAAGTGCCTAGAATAGAAAAGAGATTTTTCTTTGTCATTGCTAATAATAACGAAACCATCCAATTCATTCAGGAACAAGTCTCTCCTTTTCTATTTAATACCCTGAGAAACACTAGCATCCCACTATTGTTAAACTGAAGTAAATTCTCCAAAGTAAGGGCACTTGGAAGATAGGCACCAAGATGGCCCCAATGATCCTCGCCTCCTGGGATTCACAAGCCTGCATCACCTCCTCCCACACCAAATCAGAGCCCTTCTGACAAGAGAATATGGCGGAAAAGGTGACACCCAGCTCTCAAGGCTAGGCTACCAGGGGCACTGCAGCTTCTCTCCCTTCACTGGGCTAACGCTCTGGGGAAGACGGTCGCCCCAAGCAGTCCATGGAGAGGTCACTGGAGAGGAACTGAGACCTCCTGCCAACAGCCTGCACCGACTTGCCAGCCCCGAGGAACCACCTTGGAAGGGATCCTCCAGCCCTGGTCAAGCCTTCTACACAGCTCAGCCCAGCCGTGGGCAAACTACGGCCTGCGGGCTGGATCCGGCCCATTTGAAATGAATAAAACGAAAAAAAAAAAAAAAAGACTGTACCCTTTTATGTAATGATGTTTACTTTGAATTTATATTAAATTCAAACAAACACTCCATCCATGCTTTTGTTCCGGCCCTCCGGTCCAGTTTAAGAACCCATTGTGGCCCTCGAGTCAAAAAGTTTGCCCACCCCTGGCTCAGCCCCTGCGACATCGCTCTGCAACCTCTGAGACCCCAGCCAGAGCTGCCCACATTCCTGCCCACAGAACCTGTGAGGGAGAAGCGTTCACTGATGTGTTTTAAGCCGCTGAATTCCAAGGTAATGTGTTATGGAGCAGTAGGTAACAAGTGCAGCATGATCTCTGATAAGGAGAACCTATTCATTCTGCATAGGACACGCTTCCAATGACTCCCTTCATAACAAAAGAAATAAACTCAGCAAGGCACACCTTAAGTGCAAATCCCAAAGGAAGAAAAAACAGTTCTTTCTGGTAAATAAAGTTCAACATAACTGTGCCATTTTCCAAGTAGTGAAGGTTCATATTGACAGCAGAGTGTTCTTCCCTTACACAGTGCATTGACACTCCTGTCGAAACAGAACAAAAAGCCGGAAACTCAGTAACACTATAACTGCTTCAATCATTTCATTCTGAATTATTTTTACCTTCTTAGAGATAATTAAGAGCCATAACACTAAGTTTAGCCGAGATGGGCAACCAAAAACGTCTCCAGACCTTGTCAAATTTCCCCCAAAGTGCAAAAATCTCCCCCAAACAAAGGCCAGCTGGCTGCCAGCTCGCGACCCTGAGGGGAGTGCCATGGTACTTGAACCAGAAGACTTCTGGGGCCCACACCCACCTCTGGCAAAGTTAGGCCGGCCTCCAGCCTCAGACTAACATATACACACGTTCTTTCAGTTTGAAAGATGTCAGAAAGTAGGTCTGCTACTATGAAATCTTAACACAGAAATGCTTAACAGAAAAATAAAATTTTATATACATACAAGAGAAAAATGTCAAAGACTCTAGATGCAGCTCCTTTTTTAAAAAATAGCTTAAAACTTTTCTAAGACAACATTCTAAAAATCACTAGAGCTTACCATACTGAGTGTAGCCAGGCCCTCTAGCTTTCCATTTTGGTCTTATCATTGCAATAGGGAAATTTCTCCGAGGCATAATCAACATTCGGATGACCTTTTCAATGCCATTGATTATGAAATAGCCTCCCATTTCCTGCCAAAGAGATGAATTATAATTTGTTAAACAAAGATAAGTAACTGGGAATATGAAACTGACTAACTGCAAAAATTAACCTCCTAGCAGACCCTGTTCTAAGTGCAGAAGAGAGGAAAGTGCAGGTGAAGGGGGCCATGGATCCCCGGGAAGCTGTCAGTAAGTTAAGTCTTCTCAAGTACATGAAAAAGGTTTAGGGACCTGGAAGTATGGGAGGAAGTCAGTACTTTCTCTATCAGACAGCTTTGATCTAATTTGTCTTTCTGTCCTCCAAATGACCTTAGTCTTCAAATGACATTAAACAAACACCTTATTCCAAAGAAAAGTCTGCAAATGAAAATAGCAAACATTTTGCCTCCAGACAAGTATGATTTCCCAAATACGTTAAAAAAACAACTGATGACAACATGAAATCTCTTGAAATCAGATATTAAAGTTAATAGGAAAATTATTTTAATTGCTCGTCAATATCACATTTCTGTAATAAAGAGCTATTATTAAGTAGGCATAACATACCAGGTGCTCTATATTATCCTAACATCTAGTCCTCATAACAATGAGTAAGATAGCTATTGTGCCCATTTTTAGCAGAGGAAACAGGTTCAGGGAGATTAAACTTTCCAAAGCCATACAACCAGTAAGACAGCAGCTGAATGCCAAACCCAGATCTGACACCAAACCCTCATCCCTCAGGTAACAGTCTCTATTACAGACCATCTGTAATCTTGATTACTTCAACTCAATGCTGCAAAGCCACCTGACACAGCTAAAAAGAAATGCCAAAGGGAAAGCATATAAGGCACTTTATATCCTCACAGAATCTTACTGTTCGGTAAAGCAGACATCTTAGAAAACAGTTTTGTCGTTTAAGATGGCTTTAAAAACAGAAATATCTCTAAATATACACCATTCAGAAAATTAGCGAAAAACCTACCAATTATTTCCCCATCATAATAATAATCACCTAATTGCACAGCCAGTTTTTCATACATTGCTTCATTTGAGACTCATTATGAGCCGCGCACAGTACGCAGACAAGAGATCAATGCTCCACGTTATCTATCCAAAATTAGAGGCAGAGAAAGAAACACTGACTCCCTCTGGCAAGCTTCATATCCTCTCACTCCCAACTCGGGCCCTTCCTATTGTCGTCTGCCCATTCAGTGCCCTGCACCCCTGAAATTACCTCTGGTTCCTCATGGTGCTCAATGAGGGCTTTTGGAGGAAGGTTGTATAAGTTGCAAAGCTTAGACTTCACCATGATGGGAACATAGCCAAGAAACTGCTTAATGGTTCCTTTTGAGATTCCGTTTACAGCCCAGCTGATATCAGCCTAAATGAAAAAAATTAGTTACGAAAAAACCAAAGTATTTGGAGCTATAAGAACAAATGAGTATTTTAAAAGAGGAAAAAGACCATATACTAGATGATTTTATGCTTCAGATTTAAAAGAAGAGATCTCTTGGGTGACAGCACAAAGCAGAATTCTGGTTACATTTTATTGGACACCAATATTCGCAGACATGTCCAGCGTTTGAGTCGCGTACTGTCACTTGTACTCACTGTCAACTTTCCCCGGTAGGTGCTCCTCCTGCCCCGGCATTCTGCAGGATAAACACTGAGCTCCTTGCAGATGCTCCCTTTGGGAACGGTGGGGGGGCTGATGACGGCATCCACAATAGTGAGAGAGATCCGCTCATCTTTGAAAGCAAATTCAAAGGGAGGTATAGCCTGAAATACAATTCACATTATTAACTGCTTGCATGTCCCAGGTACCTCTTCACTGAGACTCTTCCAAAGCCCATGAATTTCCTACACACACTGTTGCCTCTCATGTTAATGTGGCATTAAAACAACAGCTAAAGCTACATCCAGTCTACTCACACCATCCCTATGTACCAAAAAGCATCCGGCGTTAACTCGGACATCTGAATGTCTACCGTGTGTCAGCTTCTGCAGCAGGCTCTAGGGCAGCGGTTCTCAACCTGTGGGTCGCGACCCCTTTGGGGGTCGCCTAAGACCATCGGAAAACACATATATAATTACATATTGTTTCTGTGATTAATCATTATGCTTTAATTATGTTCAATTTGTAACAATGAAATTGGGGGTCACCACAACATGAGGAATTGTATTAAAGGGTCGCAGCATTAGAAGGTTGAGAACCACTGCTCTAGGGTGACCACTGTGTGCAGAACAGAGCTGTCCTCTGAACCAAGAGCCTGCCCGCTCTCTCCTTACCTTGTAGCTTCTCCACGGGTAGTAAGACTGACAGGACTGCTGACAGAGCGAAGTTATGGAAGCACCTCCTGACTCAGGACCGGACACTCTAGTGTCATTCTTTAGGCTGATAGTTGTGCATTTCATTCCACGTGGTCTCATACATGCCAAGGGAAAGGTGGTACCACCAGGTTCCCTGCCCCCCGCCCCCCCCTTCACCGCATCTGCTTTTCGGTACCCGCCCTCCTCCCCGGGAAAAGCTCTGCTGTTCCACGGAGCTCTCCTCGTGTTAGCTAGGGACAATGTGCTACGGTTGGAAGCTCAGCCCACGCGGGCCACTTCCTCACCCTCCAGCACCTACTGTCCTACAAAGCACTGCGGCTCCCAATCCCATAAAAATCCAGGAACCACAGACACATCTTCCCCCGGTCGGCTTGAGCTCAAGCCCCGAGCTGCGGCTGCCACGATCAAGAAGCACAACTATTTGGGGTTCTACTGTGACCTCCAGCCATCCCCTCTGTCTGGGACCCTGTCCCCGGCCAGTGCTCGGCTCACCCCGCCTCCTGGGTCTCCCCACCCGCCGCCCGCCTCCAGCCCCACGGGGCCCCTCTCCTCCGCCCGACCTAGCAGCGCCAGCGAGCGCCGAGCTGCAGGGAGCCCGGAGGAGCCGCACTCACCTGCACCGCGTGGCTGAGCCCTTCGCGCACCGCGTAGTTGAAGGACTCCACGTGCGCCTGCGTCAGCTCCTGTAGCGCCGGCTTCTGCTGCTCCCGGGGGACCCCGTAAGCGGGATCCGTCAGGTGCTTGAGGCTGGGCCCGCCGGGCAAGCCCCGCCACCGGCCGCCGGGATCCATGCAACACCGCACGCCGGCTGCAAGCACGCCTCTGCAGCGCCGGAAAGAGGCGCAGCGCCCACGGTCCGCTAGGAAATGCAGCTCCTCTACTTCCACCGGGTCTCGGTCCGTTGTTTTATAGGGTCGACTTGGAAAAGAAACCCTGGCGTGAACGGGCCGGCCTGAAACTGTACCGAACCGGAATGCCGCCTGCCCAACTCAGCTTTGTCCTCGGGTTCTCCTTCGCTCCAGGGCCCGAGGAGAGCCATCTTCAAAAGTTCCCTTACTCCCCGTGACCGCTTTCGGATCGTTGCTGTTGCTGAGGCTTCGAGGGAGTAAATCGCTGACTGCTCTCTGACCGATTTGAGTTGTGAAGGCTCCACTCTATTTCAAGAAGTGGTCTGCCTCGCTGCCTGCTCTCCTCCCGTGGGCTGGGTCCTGGAGGTGGGGGATGGCAGCGTCCAAGGGCCCCCCAGTCTTAAGATCCTTTAGTCTGAGTCCTAGGAAGCACTTTCTCCGAATGGGGGCTCAGCAGCACCTTCAGGTGCCTCAACTTCGTGTGTGTTGAACAGCTGCATTTGGTACTTGGGTAAAATCAACAGGCAATAAGTCACACACTCTTAAATTCCACCCGTTGGTAAGCTTGGCGTGTATACATACTCCCTAGAGGCCTGTGTCAGCGTCACCAGTTTGTGTCTGTCTAGGAATGTGCCCATTTCATATAAATTATCTAATTTGTTGGCATAGAATTGTTCATAGGATTCCTCTATAATCCTCTTTATTTGTGTTGTAGTAAATTTAGTAATTTGAGTTGTCTAATTTTTTTTTTCTTGGTCAGTCTAGGTAAAGTTTTGTCTATTTTGAAGATAGTTTCAAAGCACCAACTTTTGGTCATGTTGATTTGCTCTATTGTTTTTCTATTTTCAATTTCGTTCATTTCCAGTCTAATCTTTTTTTCTTCTATTTTTTGGGGATTTACACTTCCTTTTCTAAGGTGGAAAGTTTCTTAAGGTGGAAAAAAACCTAATGGCTATTGATTTGAGATTTTTAATGTAGCCATTCAAACATATAAATTTCCCTTTAGACAGAGCTTAACTGCATTCCATAAATTTTGGTATGTTTTCATTTTCATTTATCTCAAAGTACTTTCTAATTTCCCTAGTGATTTATTTATTTGATCCATTGATTTTTTTTTAGGGCTGTATTTTTATTTTCCAAATATTTATGATTTTCCCAAACTTCTGTTAATGATTTCTAACTTATTCCATTGTGGTCAGATAACAGGTGTAGTATGATTTTGATCATTTTAAATTTACTGAGGTTTGTGTGTGGTTTGGCATATGGTTCATTCCAGGGAATGTTCCATGTGCACTTGAGAAAAATGTATATTGTTAGGTGGAGAGTTCTATAGATATTTGTCAGATCTAGTTGTTTATAGCGTTTGCTATTTTCTTGTTGATATTCTGACTAGGTGTTTTATCCATTTTTGAAAATGGAGGATTGAAAGTTCCAACTAATATTGTTGAATTGTCTATTTCTCTCTTCAGTTCTGCCAGCTTTTGCTTTCTGTGTCTTTGGGCTCCGTTGCTAGGTGCATTATGTTATAACTAGTGGCCCAGTGCATGGATTCATTGAAAGGAAATTAATTAGAAGAGATATTTAAATATCACTATTCGCCCTTTCTTTATAATAGAAGTGTCAACCAAACTCATGATCGACAATGACAGATCGAAACACACGCATGCAATTGGCACCAGCAAGAGCTTTATATGTATCGCACATGTGCGAGTCAACTTAGCCTTTTATAGATATAGAATAAACTTGCTTACTTAGACCTGCTTTCTGATGTAGCTAAACTTTTTCCAGCCCAGTGAAGCACCCCAACTTCTCTTTCAGGTAATTTTCAGCAACACAGCAGTAAATATCAACATGAAGAGATTATTATTGTAGATCATGCAGGGAAAACAAAGGGTAAAACTGCAGCAGTGTTTGACTATATTCTGTGCAGTGAGAAAACCTGATGTCATTTTCAAGGTCCACCATTTCTTACTTCTTTTCAGTCGGGTCAAGTTTCTAAACTTTCTAAATCTCCATTTTCCAGCTAATGAAAAGAAAATAGGATTTTACTGAGTCTCCTATTTCCTACTCCAGGACTTCTGTGAGGATCAAATGAGATGAGGCAGGGGAAAATGCTTCACAGACATTTGGTTAAAGTGTAAAATATTTGCACCTGGCTATAAAGCAAGTCGTGTTCCTGTGCTGAAGAAACTCCAAGGAGGTTAGTCACAAGGGAGAGGAAGACAGGCATTGCTACATGACATCATTACCCTGTGCCCACAGCAACCGTTTCTGGGCTGGGCTGGGCTATGGGCTGCATTTTGCGCCATGGGGTTTTGGCAGCATTGGCTGTAATTTGGTGGGGTGTCGCTCTGGGGTGGTGGTGGGGCTTGTGTCTGGGGTGGGGGAAGCCGACTGTTGGTTTGTTGGTGCCAGGTCCATGGTGCCATTTTTTGTAAATGGCTAGTGTGCATCACGGCAACTTCTGCATTGAGCGTCTTCCCCCTGGTGGTCAGTGCATGTCATAGCAACTGGTCGGATGGTTGGAGGGACATTTAGCATATTAGCCTTTTATAGATATAGATTGTATCTTCCTGATGAATCACTCCCTTTATCATTAAAAAATGTCCTTTGCCTATAGTGACAACTTTGTTTCTTAAAGCCTATTTTGTCTAATATTGTATGGCCACTCAAACTCTCTTTGAATTACTATTTACACAGTATATCTTTTTTTATCCTTTTACTCTCACCTATTTGTGTCTTTAGTAGATTGCAGAGGTGGATCATGGTAGTTTTGGTTTCTTTTTTAATCCAATTTGCCATCTGTGCCTTTTGTTTGAAGTGTTCAATCCATTTACATTTAATGAAACTTCTGATAAGGTAGGATTATGTCTGCCATTTTGCTATGTTTTCTGTTTGCCTTATACCTACCCTCATTCCTTCATTTCTGCCTTCACTTTTGTTAGTTATTTTCTAGTGTAACATTTTAGTTCCTCTTTTTTTACTATAATTAAAGTTATTTTCTTAGTGAATAATGTGTATTGATGTGGATCTCTTTGAGTCTATCCTACTTGAAGCTTGTTGAATTTCTCACATGCATTTTGATGTTTTTCACCAAAGTGAAAAGTTTTCGGCCACTACTTTTTCCACTGTTTTCTTCCCCTTTCTTTTCTAGGACCCATGATATGAATATGTTGGTATACATGCGTGTCTCTGGACAGATCTCTGGAGTGCTGTTCATTTTCCTTCTTTTTTTTGTTCTGCAGCCTGAATAATCTCAACTGACCTCATATTCACTGATTCCTTCTTTTTCCAGCTCAAACCTGCTTTTGAACACCTGTAATGAATTTTTTATTTGTATGGTTGTACTTTCCAATGCCATTCTTGTATCATTTAGTTCTGTAAGTCCAATACCTGGGCTTTCTCAGGGACATTTCTATTGACTGCCTTTTACCTCTATGGGCCAGACTTTCTTTTTTCTTTGCATATCCCATAATTTGTGTTGAAAACTGGAAGATTTTAAGGATATAATGGGCCAACTTTGGAAACCAGATACTCCCCCCACTCCAGAGTTTATTGTTGTAGCTCTTTATTTAGTGACTCTCCTGAGCTAATTCTGTAAAACCTGTATTCTTTGTTATGCGTGGCCACCTAAGTCTCTGCTCAGTTACCTTAGTGGTCAATTGATCGCATAGAGAGTTCCTGAATGTCTGGAACAAGTAAGTCTCCTAGTCTTTGCCCAGGGACTGTGTGTGTGTGTGTGTGTGTGTGTGTGTGTGTGTGTGTGTGTGGTGCCTTCATGCTCAAAAAGGAGGTTACAGCTCTGCCTTAGTCATCACTTCTTGCTTGTGAAGACCCTCCAAGTGAGAGAGAGGTGAAAGCTGAGGGAATTCAGGTCTCCCCTGGGCACACACACAGCCCTACACATGTGTGGCCTTCTATGTTCATTTTTAAAAATTTTATCTTTATTGTTGAAAGTATTACAATGTCCCCCCTTCCCCCTCCCAATGACTCTCTCCACCCTATAACCGCCCCCCGCCCCCCCACATTGCCCAGGCCTTCACTACAATGTCTGTGTCTATTGTGACCTTCTATACTCTTAGAACTATGTTGAAGGTTTTCAAAACCTATGTGCATCTCAATTACGAGGGACAATCTTTTGGGTTATGTATTAAACGACATGCTGGGTTAAGCCAACGATGGCCACACCTGGTTTAATTTGTATGGCCTTTGAGCTAAGAATGCTTTATATATTTCCTAAGAGTCAGGGAAAAGGCAAAGAAGAAAATGCATCAGAGACCCTGCGTGGCTTGCAGAGCCTGAATACTTACTATCTGGCACTTTACAGAAAGGCTGCCTGACAGAGTCATGGACTCAGACAACCGATGGCACCTGAAACAGTCAACTCCAACAACGAGATGACAGAACCAAGGGAACAAGGACACTTGAAATGTTATTACTTCACTTTAATGCTCCAGGCATTTTAAACATTCATGACATCACCTTATTTCAGAAGTCATTTCCTCTTAGGTACAGAATCTGTGTATCACTGAATTTTCTTCACGGCTCCCACATGCTGTGGGGCCACTCAGGGGCCTTGTCTTCTCCAGTAGAGCCCCCGCCCCCGCCCCCCCACATGCACCGCAGCCTGACAACCTCAACAGTTAAACACACTGTAGCTTCACTCCCCTGTGGGTGCTGCGGATCCCGTACCTTCCCAGCACTACCGCTCACTCCAAGCCCGTGAGAAACATCCAAGGCGCTGGGGAACAGCGTGTCCGCGGCAAGTGTGCCCGCACCTGCTCCACTGCACCACACAGACACGGAGGCACTTGAATGTTCTGGGTAAAACTGAGCTCTAAACACCACAGGAGTTACTTGTGAGGAAAGGGGCTTTTCTCTCAATAATTAATGGCCTTAATGCCTATTCAGCAGATTTATAGATTCCTGTCTGTTTACATTCGCTGCCAAGTCTTCACAGACTGTTTCAGTAGATGAAGGCATGTTTGACAAGAAGCAAAGAGAGAACGGCTTAGACGGCACTTGTCGCATGAACACACATGTCAACACCTGGTCATTCTGAAAGAGAGGCCTGTTCTTCCAAAAGGAACCTTTAAAAGCCCTGGGCCCTACGGGATTCCTCTCAGGTAATAAGAATGTGTCTTCCCTTCCTTCTCCAGCAGCGTGGTGCGCACTGCTGCCCGAGGTTCTGATTCAGTCGCCGGGGTGGGGAGAGGGGCACAGTGTGGTTCCAGCACACAGCCAGCACTAGGAGTCTTGGTACGGAAGGCTCCCGAGTCTTCCTAATCTCACTTGTCCTCACTAAAGCCTGTGAGGTAGTCCCGGGTCTGGCAACAATCTCTTCTGTGAGACAAGAAACTAAGGCACAGAGAGGTCACGGCTCATCCAACACTGAGCAACCAATGGCAGGGCCAAGACTGGAGCCGACATCGCCAATGAATAGCGCCTCCCTCCCCAGCAACTGGTGACGCGGACAGGGACACGCACAGGAAGACTGACTGGGCAGCAAGGCAGGACCACCTGCGCCAGGACAGCGTGGAGGGGATGCGACGGTTCCGAGCCAACCACCCCCTGATCAGAAGTAAAGATAAATAGACATGTATTTGAAAACACGTGAGGAATGAGGTATCATTTTCTTTTTAGAGCCTCACTTCCCTCATACATGTGCTACTGAACCAGGTTTCTGAGAAAATCCATCGAGAGCCACAGACTTCCTAACATCTGCATTCTTAGCTCCGGCACTGTAGCCGCTGGAAAGCTCTCAAATATTCCTGTAACTTAGGTCCAAAAGGTCATTACACATCCGTGTTCCCGTGGGACAGCCCCACAAGTCTTCCACGCTTTCCCCATTACCAGCTCGCAGAAGCCAGCACCCCACACTCTCTAAGTGGGCGCACCTGGCCACGCTCTAAGTCCCCAACCCCAACCCAGCAGCCACGCCGGGGGGCCTCCAGGAACGACTTTAACCACTGACAGTTTCACTGTGCTCTGCATGCAAACTTCATGATCTGTCCTCTGAGCAAGCAACCACGGCATTATAGTTCCAATTCCCCATGCAAGCCCACCCAAGCCTCCTCTCCCCCCAGCGTCACACCTTCACATCCTCTGCCCACATGTAAGCTCCCACATCTCATCAAATTTTAGGAACAGTTGCTTTTTCTTCTCTTTTTAACAATGTCTTCCCAAGCTAGCCAGTTTGGCTCAGTGGATAGAGCATCGGCCTGCGAACTGAAGGGACCCGGTTTGATTCTGTTCAAGGGCACATGCCTGGGTCGTGGGCTTGATCCCCAGTGGGGGATGTGCAGGAGGCAGCCAATCAATGATTCTCTCTCATCATTGATGTTTTTCTCTCTCCCTCTCCCTTCCTCTCTGAAATAAGAAGTATTTTTACAAAGTCTTCCTGACTGCAGAACTGCTTTTTTTGTGTGCAAGGAGGACGAGTAATGGAGTACACATACACACGAAGGCAGCACACACCACGTTCCAAGGAGCAGGGGCCTTGCCCATGGGTCTACTGGGATCCTGGCGCTCTAAGAAGGGCCCCTTCACTCAGCTCAGCGAACACACATGGCATCTTGTTCTTCCCACTGCTAGTAACGTGGCCTCCTGAAAAGCCTGCAGAATGCTCCCCGATCCAGCCAGGGAAAACCACACCACCCCTAACAGGACACAACTGTTGACCTACAGGACACTGTGTGAAGCTCTAAAACCTCATCTTTCTCACTTTGGGAGATGCTCCCATTCAGGCAGACAGACACTCACTGAGAGCCTCTCCCCGAGGCAGAGCCTCCTCGCTGGAACACCATCCCCTCCAGCTCCCACAGCAGGTGCTGGGAGAGAAGAAGGAGATGGTGGGAGGGGAGCTCCCTGTGTCAGGGGCAGGGCCACCTGGGGGAGGGGAATTCTACCTTCTCCTGACCCCCAGGAACTTTGCAAAAGTGCATGAATTCTGGTTCAAACAAAGATAACAGACCCATCATATTTCAAGGACACCCAACTACGAAGCAAAGCAAGGCATTGTCTTTTTTCCCTCATGCTTTTTGATGCCTGCAGGCTTGTGGCAAACTTGCTGCTCGGTTTCTAAAGCATGCAGAGAGCAGACTGACAGCAGCGTTTGCTGTATTGGTGCCCAGCCCACATCCACCCCGACCGGAGACTGACCCAGCGCCTTCAGGAACGGGATGAGGACAACGCCCTGCCCTTCCAGGCAGCGCACAGCACGGAACCCAGGGCCGCCCCGCATGCTGGTCCAGAGTCTCACAGGCAGAGTGTCAGGGGGGAAGAGCAGGGACACAGGGCGACCTCCCAAACGCTCCAGCATCAGTCCCCGCGGGACAGAGGTTGCAGCTGGGCACCAAGCTAAGGCACGAGGGCTGCAGCAGACGGAGCGCACGCACAGGTCCAGTGGCCCCGGGAGGAGAGGCGCTGCTTTCAAGGACGGCCTTAGCATAGAAATCTGCTGCTTTCAAGGACGACAACCGAATCCCCGTGTTTTCCCCTTAGAAGAACGTCTTGCTCTCCCCTCAGGGAAATTCGTTGCAGTTTTCAAGTCTGGGTAGCAGTGCAGAGAGCTCCACCCGGAGCCCCTTGGGGGCACCTTCGCTCTCGCACTCCCTCCTCCATCACAGCCTTGCGAGCTGCCTCTTTCTCACTGTGGCTTCGCGTGGAGCCACGGGGCGTCTCTCCTGGAGCAGGACCCCACGCGTCTCTGGTCACAGCCTGATGAACGCGGCCGGCTGGCTCTGCTGCTGCTCGGCGTCGGGGGGCGGGAAGACGCTGGATATGGCTATGTCCACGATGCCCTGGCACAGTTCTGCATAGAGCTTCCTGAAACGTGTTCAAAAGTATGTTACTGAGGAAGTTCACCAACGTGCAAGCGAGAAACCAAAGTTTTTCTCACCAGGATCTGCCCTGGAAATTCCACCCCCTGACCACATTGATACAGCTGGCCTCCGCCGTCCACACAAACACGGCGGGAGGCGCCGTGGGAAGACGACGCGTCTGGAAGGCCTCGCAGGTGCACGGACAGAGAATCCCACTCTGACGTGAGCCGCAGGGAAGACGGCAATTCCAGTAGAGTGGATGGGCCCTCCTGCTGCCTGTGCGGGGGACACGGAGGGCAGGCCTCCCCACGCAAAGCACCCACTCCTTGCGGTTGAGGGGACTTTAGGAAAGACTCCCCATGAGTGTCAGCTGAGCTGAGGCCAGGAGAATGAGTGAGGTCAAAGGATGGGGACAGGGTAGAAAAGAGGATGGAGGAGGGCAAAGATAGGGACAAAGACAATGGAGGAGGGAGGGAGTAGAGGGAGAGAGAGAGTGAGCTGGGTGGGGAGGAGAGGGCAGTGCAATGAAAGGAGAAGCAGGGAGAAGAGAGAGCCAGGGGTTCGGGGAGGTGGATCAGTGCAGGTTGGTGCTGCAGACAAGGCACTGGCCTGGCCACATCGGCCCAGAGGCCACGTCCGGCCTCTGGACTTAATCCAGACCAGCTGTTCTCAACCTGTGGGTCGCGACCCCTTTGGGGGTCGAACGACCCTTTCACAGGGGTCGCCTAAGACCATCCTGCATATCAGATATTTACATTACGATTCATAACAGTAGCAACATTACAGTTATGAAGTAGCAACAAAAATAATTTTATGGTTGGGTCACAACTTTAGGAACTGTATTTAAAGGGCCAGAAGGTTGAGAACCACTGATCCAGACAATGGAAGCACCAAAGCAGAAAAGCTGAGGAGGAAAACTTCAGAATAGCGATGAGGCCCTCCACCCCTGCCTATTCCCTATAGGATGTCTGCCCGCCTCATGGGGCCGCTCATGGGGCTGAGACTATCCCTCAGGACTGCTCTAACGCGGGGTAAAACCAGAAATGTGTGGTCCCGAGAGAAACTCACTTCTGATTATGCTCCGGGCCACCCGGCCTAGGAAAACAGAGGCCTTTATTGTCCTGCTTCCCGATTTCCACCAGGAGAAATTCTCACCATCCGGTTCTCCCCTCCCAAGGCAATGGCGTCCCTGCCGCCACCCTCCCCAGGACCTTCTCCCCGCACCCCATTCCTTCTCACTGCCCTGAGGTTCTATGTCGCAAACCACGCAGCCGCCCGCCTCTAAGGAACAGTGACAGGAGGAGTGTGAGGCCTGATGGTTGTTACTAAAATGGGGGCTTGGCCCATCCCCTGCCCCTGGCCTCTCAGGGTGGCCCAGGTCCCTCGTGGCTTCCAGGCCGCCTTACTGTTAAGCCCCACCCCCAGTCCAGAAGTCCTCCCCTCTCAGAGTCATGCACCTAAACCACAGAACCTATTGATTGTCGATTGAGGACGTGTAACAATATGATTCCCACAGTAATCACTCGGGCAGTGTCTGCCCGTCTCTCTCCTGCAGCGGACCGCCCTGAGCACACTCATCTCTGCGGGACTTCCCGCTGACCCTTCGGAAAATGTTTCTGCAGGATGTGGACATGGAGGAGAAGATGACCGTGGACCTCGGAAGGACAGAGCCTTTAAGGATCGAGTCCCAACGACTCTCCCTCACATGTGTGGCGTCCCCTCCGTCATTCCTCACGGCACGACATGATGCCACCTGCAGCCGCTTCCCCCAAAGGAATGGGAGCTCCCCTACCCACCCAGGGCAGGTTCCGCCCACTGCGCTCTGCCCAGAGCCTGGCAATGAGCAAGGCTCCGCTGGTGCCTGGTGCGTGCCCCTTCCTGAAAGTGCTCCCTCCTCCTGGGCACACGCCACACCTCAGTCCCAGCTCCACTGCATCTCCGTGGTTCTCCGACCACTTGCTGCCCGAGGAGCCCGACCTTCTTGGTCGTCACTGTCTCCGCTCCAGGACCCTGCCCGCTCACCTCCTCCCGCAGTCTCTAGCCGTGTTTGAAACTCTCCCAGCAGCGACCACCCGCCTGAGCAGTCAAACCGCTCCACACACATGGGGAAACGGGAGAGGAAACGCCTCTGCAAAGCCCCTGCCAGCAGGGTCCCCGGGGCCTCCTGTCCTGCCACTTCCTCCCTGACAGCGGCCCAGGGCCACGGAGCGAACAGCCTTGCTGAGACAGGTCCTCCCAGCCTCCACCTGCTACAGCCCCGCAGTGTGAGGCTTACTGAGCACAAGCAGGGGCACCGTTGACCTCGATGAGCCAGACCTTCAGCTCCTCGTCCACCATGAAGTCGAAGCCAAACAGCTGGAAGCTCTGGTAAGGGAGGTGCCGGGTGCTGATGGCAGGCTCCACGCTCAGGAGGCAGCTCCTGCGGGCAGAGGGAGAGCTGGCTGAGAGGGGGCGAGGGCGAAGGGGCAGGAGATGGGCCAGAGGACTGCCCATGAAAGGTGCTGCCATAAAGAGAGGCTTTGGCGTCCTCTCTCCTTTAAAGTTGTCACCGACAGATTATTCAAGACAATGCTACTTACCCAGCAACTTGTGAGAAGACCTGTAACCACGCATGTCTTTACAAATACAGCCTGCTTTCCCAGCTCCGAGCTGTCACCCTGGCCCCGGAAAGGTGGGTCCCTCCCACAGGACGGCTGCTGCCACCTTTTGTTTATAATAAATAAAACACTTTCATGTACGTTTTCCATAGAAAAGAAGTGGACCAATGGTCAACCAGTGAGGGGAGAATTGGCACAAAGACTATTGGCCTCGTTCATTTCTTTTGCTTGTTCCAGTCCTGTTGCCAAACTGTTACTCATTAAAAGATTGAAGAGCTACATATATTGAAACTACATAAATGTTGAAACAGAATAGTTACTAGCATCAACTACTGTTTCCCAAAATTGGAAAAACAGAAAAATGGAATATGCACTAAAAACAAACATTTGAAAAAAAATATGAAGGTTAAAAGTGAATCTCAGAAACATAGTGAATAAGTAAGTGAGGTCAGAGGTCAGGCTGCCGAGGCCAGAATTTTGGTCAATGTTTTAACCTCTTGGAGCCAAGCTTTGATTTCTATAAAGTAGGAGGTAAAATAATACCTCCTCCTGGTGCTGAGATGGGCCGAGGTAATTACATACGGAGCTTACGAATAATAAGCCACTGTCTTCTAATACAGCCATCCCAGAATACGTAGGCCTTTTCTGTTTTATGAAGATCTTCTCTGATTTTCCCCTAACTGAAAGTTGGGGCCAATCCCTATCTATAATAATAAAAGCATAATATGCTAATTAGACTGGTCAGCTGGACGACCTTCCAGATGTCCTTCCAGACGACCTTCCAGATGAAGCCGGGGCTGCGAGGGCCGAGCCCTTTGCAGAATTTCGTGCATTGGGCCTCCAGTCTTAGTAATAAAATATGTTATAATGACTCTAAGATGACCACAGATAGCTGTCCTTATACTCAACCGTACAATTAGAAGGGAAACTATGCAGGCTTTGACCATGAATATTCCAAGATTCAAGAAGCACTATGAATGTGTACAAAGAAAACTATACACTATACACATCTCATAGTAAAATTTATAAAATAAACAAAAGTTAACCTTAAAAACAGAGTAAAAAATCATTAAAAGCAATACTAAGATTTCAACTGACATCTCAGCAGAAAAAATGGAAGCCAGAGATAATGGTGCCACCTTCAGAGTACTAAAGAAATATTAACTTCTGACCTAGAAATCTGTTTCCAGAGCAAATGTCCTTTAAAAATGAAGACAAAATAAATATGCTAATAAAAATGAGTCTAAAATACATGGAGCATTAATGACCATCCATGTACCCACACCTGTACTTTCAGGCCTCCTCCTTGGGCCCCTCCTGCTTTTTCTCCAGAGAAAATCACTATTTTGAATTTTTTGCTTCTTTCTTTATTTTTACCACATATGTACCTTCTTCTAAATAATGTATTTACTAAACTTTGCTTGTTTTTCAGTTTATATGAATAGAATCAATCTGTATGCATCTTGTATACAGCTATTATTTTTTTATTTTTGTGATTGACATTATGTTTGTGTAATTCCAGTGAAAACACCCTTCAGGAATAAGAGAAATAAAGACTTTTTCAGATGATGGAAAATTAAGAGGACTTATCACCAGCAGAACGGCTCTAAAAGAAATGACAATGTCTGAAGGGAAACGATACCAGAGAGAAATCTGGAACCTCGGGACTAAAGGAAAAGAGAAAAAGAAAAGCAAATATATGGGTAAATAAAAATGTTTTTTCTTATTTTATACTTAAATGTGTTTTTTATAGACATTATCCAGTTTGGCCTTATATTTTTTAAAAACCAAACTTGACTATCTGCATAACAAAATGTATATAATGGTTGATACCAAAAATTATAACATTATGTGGTAGAGATTTCAATGTATGTGGATGTAATACACATGGCAACTATAACACAGAGAGGGAGAGTCAAGTGAAGTATAATGTTATGTCTGGATTTTATGTGAAGTGGTGAATTATTAATTCTAAGAAGACTGAAACATGAGATACATATATTTTTTAATCCCTAGAATCACCACTAAAATATAGACAGACAGATAGAGCCAAATATTCAACAGGAAAATTAAAATAGAACTCTAAAAATATTCAAATAATTCTAAAGAGATCAGGAAATGGAGACATGAAAGCAAATAAAAACAAAGAAAGAGGGAACGAATCAACCAAATAATAAAATGGTAGACATAAATCCAACCAAGCCAATCATTGCATTAAATTTAAATGGTGTAAACACACCAATTAAAAGACAGATTATTATACTGGATTCAAAACAAAATAAAAAACAAAAAACCCAACTCTACGTTGTCTACCAGAGTCCAGTTGAATAGAATAGAAGTAAAAGAATGGAAAGAAAATACCACTAATCAAAAGAAAGCTGGAGTGACTGTATTAATAAAAAATCAACTTTAAAATAAGAAATATTACAGAAATAACGACAGATACTACACAATAATAAAGTAATCAATTTTCCCAAAAGAGACAACAATTCTAAATGTATATGCACCTCATAATAGGTCTCCAAACTATATAAAACAAAAACTGGTAAAACTAAAAAGAAACATAGAAAAATCCAAACACTTGGAGACTTTGATTTTTTCTCTCTCAACAATAAACAGTGGGGCAGGAAAACGGCAAGGATATAAAAGACGTGAACAGCACTAGCAGCCACCTTCACCGAAGTCGCATTAATAGAACAAGCCTAAGCAGAGTGAGTAAATGTTATTCTTAGTGCACACGGAACATTCACAAAGATGGAGCATATTCTAGGACACGAAACTAACACATTTTAAAGACACAAAACCATACAAACTATATTCTCCGATGACAATGGGATTATAGTAGAAATCAGTAACAGAAAGATATCTGGAAAAATCCCCTTATATTTGGAAAGTAAGCCAAAGTTTCTAATAACACGTGAGTCAAATATGAAGTTACAAGAGAAACTAGAAATTATTTTAATAAAATGAAAAAAACACACAACATAGCAAAATCTGAGGTATGGCTAATGAGTACTTCGAGGGAAACTGATAGCATTAAATGCTTATATTTTAATTTTTATTATTTTTAATAAAGCATATCTTTATTGATTTCAGAGAGGAAAGAAGAGAGATAGAAAGATCAATGATGAGAGAGAATCATTGATTGGCTTTCTCCTGCATGCCTACTACTGGGGATCAAGCATGCCACCTGGGCATGTGCCCTTGACTAGAACTGAACCTGGGACCCTTCTGTCCGCAGGCCGACTCTCAATCCGCTGAGTGGATATAACTAAAAAGATACCAGCTAGGGCAAATGCTTATATTTTTAAAAAATGAAGTCTCTCAAATCAATGATCTAACCTTTCACAAAGAAACTAGAAAAAAATTAAATACCTCCCAAAAGCAGAAGGAAATAATAAATAGCACAAATCAAAGAAAACAAAACCAGAAACAATGGAGATACTCAGTCAAGCAAAAAACTGACTTTTTGAGAAGATTAATAAAACTGATAAGCCTTTAGCCAATCCAATGAATCCAAGAATTAGAGAGAGAAGATATAAACTACCAATATAAGGAATGAAAGCAGTGATATCATTAGAGATCCCACAAATATTAAAAGAATAATAAAGAAATATTACTGAAGATGGCGGCATAGGTAAACACCGGAAATTGCTGCCTCTCACAACCACTTCAAAAATACAACTAAAAGACAAAACAGACATCATCCAGAACCACAGGAAGGCTGGCTGAGTGGAAATTCTACAACTAGAAGGAAAGAGAAAAGCACACTGAGACTCAGAGGAGGTGCGGAAGTAAAGTGCAGAGGTACAGAGGCGCACGCGGAAAGGGCTGGCAACTGAGGACGCGGCTGTCTTTTTCAATCAGGAGGGAGTCTCAAGCTCCCGACTGCTCTGAATTCCAGTTCCGGGCGAGTCTCTGGGGACCCAGACTCATACGGGAGAAACTGGACTGTCTGGCATCAGTCGGAACTCGAGGGCGGCTTTCTCTCAGAGGTGCTTGCAGTGATTACTGGGACACTGAGAAGCGGGGCCTCTTAGGGCAGGACTGAGGAGAAGCCAAAGCTGCTTGCTCTGTCCTGTTGATCCCCTGAGACCCCATCCCACCCAAACTGTGCGCAGAGGCTTTTGCATATGAAAGGCCTGGCCCTTTGCAATCTGAAAATTACCTAACAAACTGCAGCTGGGTCAGAGAGACCCAGAACATCCAAAAGAAGGACCAAGGCCCCATAGCAGCTTGCACTGCTTCACAGCTGGGCTCCTGCTGGGTAGCCTCAGGCAGAGGCTAAATTAGCACCTCCTTAGAGATCCAAGAGCCAGTGTACCCAGTGGTCAGAGTGGGACCATCCAGATTACAACTCCTCAGATCCATAAGGGACACACTCAGGGGGCAGACTCAGTGAGCACCAAAGCCCCACTGAAGCAAGTCTTGCCCCTAAGGGTGTCTCCAGCACAGAAGTAGTCCCACTGTAGACACAGCTGATTCTCACAGCCAATTGGCCTGGAGATCAATTCCTCCCAGTGATACCTACAACAATCAAGGCTTAACTACAACAAGACTGTGCACAAAGCCCACAAAGGGGTGAACCAAGAGTGTCCACCTCAGGCAATTGGGGAGGCTGAGCCACTGGGCCCTATAGGACACCTAGCACAGAAAGCCACTCTATCAACACAGGGAAGCATAAAAAATGCGGAGACAAAGAAACAGGTCACAAATGACAGAAATGGAGGAAAGCAAACGACTGGATATAGAGTTCAAAACCACACTTTTAAGGTTTTTCAAGAATTTTCTAGAAACCACTGATAAACTTATTGAGACCCTCAAGAAATCTAGTAAGACCCTTGAGGTTATGAAAAAGGACCAACTAGAAATTAAGCATACACTGATTGAAATAAAGAATATTATACAGAGTTCCAACAGCAGACTAGAGGATCACAAGTATCAAGTCAAAGATTTGAAATACAAAGAAGCAAAAAACACCCAACCGGAAAAGCAAAAAGAAAAAAGAATCCAAAAATATGAAGATGGTGTAAGGAGCCTCTGGGACAACTTCAAGCGTACCAACATCTGAATTATAGGGGTGCCAGAAGAAGAGAGAGGGCAAGATATTGAAAACCTATTTGAAGAAATAATGACAGAAAACTTCCCCTACCTGATGAAAGAAATAGACTTACAAGTCCAGGAAGCGCAGAGAACCCCAAACAAAAGGAATCCAAAGAGAACCACACCAAGACACATCATAATTAAAATGCCAAAGGCAAAAGACAAAGAGAATCTTAAAAGCAGCAAGAGAAAAACAGTCTGTTACCTACAAGGGAGTATCCATACGACTGTCAGCTGATTTCTCAACAGAAATTTTGCAGGCCAGAAGGGAGTGGCAAGAAATATTCAAAGTGATGAATAGCAAGAACCTACAACCAAGATTACTTTATCCAGCAAAGCTATCATTCAGAATTGAAGGTCAGATAAAGAGCTTCACAGATAAGAAAAAGCTAAAAGAGTTCATCACCACCAAACCAGTATTATATGAAATGCTGAAAGGTATCCTTTAAAAAGAGGAAGAAGAAGAAAAAGGTAAAGATACAAATTATGAACAACAAATACACATCTATCAATAAGTGAATCTAAAAATCAAGTGAATAAATAATCTGATGAATGGAATAAACTGGTGAATATAATAGAATCAGGGGCATAGAAAGGGAGTGGACTGACTATTCTTCAGGGGGAAAGGGGTGTGGGGGATGCGGGAAGAGACTGGACAAAAATTGTGCACCTATGGATGAGGACGGGGGAGGGCGGGGGGGTTAAGGGCAGAGGGTGGGGTGGGAACCGGGTGGAGGGGAGCTATGGGGGGAAAAAAGAGGAACAACTGTAATAATCTGAACAATAAAGATTTAATTTAAAAAAAAGAAATATTACCAAAAAATTTTTGTCTTTAAATTAGACAACTTAAATGGAATAATTCCTTGAAAGGCACAAACTCCCAAAGCTTCTCCAAGACACATATAACTAAAAAGATACAATTATGTTACCTTATGATATGTTTGATTTGTACTAAGATAGCATTCTCCAGGGTAATGTTCAAAGCACTGCTCAGGTACTGATTGAACTCTTCAAAGAACATTTCATTCCCTTCTTCATACTTCCCGTAGTTCTTTGAATATTCCTTTTGAATGCAGTGATTGGTCAAGTGGCAGGTTTTGTCTTGAAAATTATCAACATGATACGGTTCTGACGCAGTCCGCAGCACGCCCTCTCGATAGAGGTAGATATTGTACTGGTGATCCACCAAGACCCAGCTTCTGCAAGTCAACAAAAACAGTTACTCACGTCCTCCAAAGTTCCTTCACATCAGGTGTCTCTATCATCCCCTGGTTTTCTTGGCGGGAAGTAGAGGAAGAAGGTAGGTTCTAAATTATGCAGGCAGGCCACAACAAGTAGCTGAGACAGTGGGCTAGCACTGTAATGATCAAACCAAACATGTCACCACCAATGACAAGGGGACTCTGATCCATTCAAGAGCCAGCATTTTAAAGAGATTTGATGGGCTTGCTTCAAAGGTTAATCTACGAAACCTCCATCTGCCATGTTTGGTCATTTTAAATAATTTTAAGAGGAAGATTGTCATCCTAAAGCTGACCTGACATAAAGGCAGCTGAGACCAAGTCCTTTCTGAAGAGCCAACAGCCAGGCCACAAGCAGGCTGGGTGGAGGGTCATGCAGGTGTAGAAAGCCCCTCACCTCTTCTTGCCAGGCTCTTTGCTCAGAAAATAAAGTCCACAAACCTGAGATGTGTTCATGAAATCCTCAAAAAGTAGGACATAAATAAGGTCAGGACATATTATTTGTCTGGGTCACATGATCTGTTGTGTCTGAATTACATGTTCCGTGTACCTCTCTCCCATTGTAAGGCCCATTTATGTGTGTATGTATGCATGTATGTATGTATGTATTATTTTTTAATCCTCACCTGGGGACATGTTTATTGATTTTAGAGAGAGGAAGGGAGAGAGAGAAAAAGAGAAACATCAATGTGAGAGGGAAACATCAATTGGTACCCCAACCAGGGATGGAACCTGCAACCTAGGCATGTGCCCTGACCGGGAATTGAACCCTCAGCCTTTCAGTGTAAGGGAGGACGCTCCAACCAACTGAGCCACACCAGGTGCAAGGCCCATATGTTTATGCCCTTCCCTTTGGATCCACAAGTCATTTTCATTAAAAAAAAAAAAAAGGTAAACGAACAAACAAAAAACCCCCATAATCTTAGTAACATATTTTTAGAAAGAAAAATATTGAAGGAAAAATAGAGAATTAGATACAGAAGCTCAGTTCCATTCGGCTGTGCTCAGTGTTGGTAACGTATTAAACACAGTCAAACACTTCCTCACATTGCACCTCACCCTCCTCCCTCACATCACTGCATGGACGCATTACCTAATGTCGAACTTGCGATGCCCCGGCTCCAGCAGCAGAGGGCGCTCGAGGTATTTCTGGATCACGTGCACCTGGCCCTGGTTGTCTATGAAATCCAGAAGTTCGGCAGCGTCCGAGGAGATGAGGATGCCTTCACCTGACCAGTAGAATTAAAACGAAAATTAGTGCAGTCCGTCCCAAGAGGAACCGCTCCCTGCAAAGCCCGGGAGGAAACACCGACAGTCGGCCTACTCACTCTCCTTTCTCCACCCTTCCCTGGTCCAATCTCTCACACTCTCCCCTCCGCCCACCAAAGCACCAGGGCCATTCAATTTTTCCTCCATACAGGGTTGTAAACACTGTCTTGGCCAGCTGCGACCATGAAGTTTCATTTCTAAAGACACTGTAAAGGTCTAGGCGCCCTAAATAAACGCCGTTCTCCTGTGGATCACGGCCTGCTGTGATAAAAGACGCTGTACTGCCTGTGACCACGTCTAACACCCTATCTTATGGAAACACCAGGAAGGTTAGGGCATAGATACAAAAGTGCAAGTGGATCCCCTGCAGTTTGGTAACAGAAAAAAACTGGCTACATTCAAAGTGTCCATCAACATTACATAAATGATACAATATCCTTTTTAACAGCCTCCCTGATATAATTTACCTGCCATAAAACCCACCCTTTTACAGAGTGCAATTCAATGGTTTTTAGTATATTCCAGTAATTATCATTACAACCTTATTTTAGAACATTTTCATCACCTCCTGAAAACTCTACATCCATCAGCAGTCCTCCATTCCTTCCTCACCCCAGCCCCTGATAAACACTAACCTACTATAGATTTGCCTGTTCGAGATGCTTCATATAAATGGAATCATCCAGTATGGAGCCTTTTTTTTGTGTCTGGCTTTTTAAAATTGAGCATCATGTTTTATTTTTTAATATATATTTTATTGATTTCAGAGAGGAAGGGAGAGGGAAAGGGAGACAGAAACATCAACGATAAGAGAGAATCATTGATCGGCTGCCTTCTGCATGCCCCCCTCCCCCCATTGGAGATTGAGCCCACAACCCAGGCAGAGCATCATGTTTTTAAGGTTCATCCATGTGGTAGCATGTGGCAGTGTTTCATTCCTCTCTATGACAGAATAACATTCCATTGTATGGATATATCACATTTTGCTCATTCATTCACCAATCGATGGATATCTGAGTTGTTTCTACTGTTGTTTGGCCCTTACGAATAATGCTGCTAGGAAAATCTGCAAAGAAGTTTTGTGTGGACATATATTTTCAATTCTCTGGGGAATATACCTAGGAGTGGAATAATATAGTAATTTTATGTTTAACTTTTTAGAAACTACCAAACTGCTTTTCAAAATTGGTGTACCATTTTACATTCCCCCAATATATGAGAGTTCCAATTTTTTCACATTTTTACCAACACTTGCTATCATCTGTCTTCATAATTATAGCCAGTTTAGTGGGTGTGAAGTGGTATCTCATTGTGGTTTGATTTGCATTTTCTTAATGCTTAATAATGTCAAGCATGTTTTCATGTACTTACTCTTATCTGTATGTCTTCTTTGGAGAAATTTCTATTTAGATTCTTTGCTCACTTCTTAATTGGGTTATTTGTCTTTTTATTATTGCGTTATATGAGTTCTTTATACATTCTGGATGCAGACGCCTCATAAGAGACATGATTTGCAAGTATCTTTGTCCATTCTAAACAGTTTCATTATTGCATGGACCCCTCAATTTTCTCTTCTAGAACCACAACTGCTTCCCTCCCCATAGCACCCTCCAGACAACCACTAATCTGGTCTCCATTTCTATAGCTTTGTCATTCCAGAAATGTTATATAAATAGAATTATACACTATGCGACCTTTGGGAATCAGTGTTGCTTTTTTCACACAGCATAATTCCCTGCAGATTCAACCAAGTTGCTGATTTCAGCAATAGATCATTCCCTTCTATTGCCGAGTAGTATCCTGTGAGGTCGATTCACCAGAGTTTGCTTAATTCTTCACCTGTTGAAGGAATCTGAGTTGCTTCCAGTTGGGGCTATTATGAATAAAGCTTCTGTGAACCATCACATACAGGGTTTACGTGGCCATGTTTTCTTTTCTCTGGGACAAATGCCCAAGAGTGTGCAAGTGGATCTGGAGCTCACAGGAAAGGACCTAGCTGCAGAGTACCTGTGTGGAGATGGACATGCAGAAGTCTCCAGCGCATAGATCAATGTTTAAGGATATGTAACTAACTGTGCTCTCTACCCTCAGGGTTCAGATGAGAAGAGTCACTCATCCACATACATCGCGTACGACTGCACAGAGCCCTGGGAACCTAAGGGACGGCAATGCCAACTCACCTTTGGCACCGGAGGATGACTTTGCAATCCAAACATTGCCCTCTCCGTCCTCCTTCTTTTTGTTATAAGAAGCCAGGAAGAATTCCCTTTCGTCCGTCCTTGAGCTAGGGATCGGTGGGTGGATTCCGTTCTGCGCAGGAGCAGCCGGGGTCTTGAGGTTAGTGGGGTAGATCACATACGACTCGGGGAACCATGTGCAGGACTCGGCCAGCTCTGGGCTCGTCTTGATTAGCCTGGCAGACGACAGAGGGTCAGTCATCGGTCGCTCTCTTCAGAAAAGCCAGTGCTACCTCCAGAGCTCGTCAAGGAGGCAGCGTGTAACCAGGGCCTGGGAGCTGGTCTCCTTGTCCCAGTCTTTGCTCTTCCCGCCCTGGACCAATCTGTAATGCCTTACAGATTGCACACAGCTATCCATGCAAACTTAAAGGCATGTGTTGGCTGGGTCAAAAAGGGACCCAATGTCCAGAACCTCAGCTCTTTTTAAAATGTATCTCCAGCCCTAGCTGGTTTGGCTCAATGAGTAGAGCATTGGCCTGCGGACTGAAGGGTCCCGGGTTCAATTCCGGTCAAGGGCACATGCTGGGGTTGTGGGCTCGATCCTCAGTGGGGGGCATGCAGGAGGCAACCAATCAATGATTCTCTCTCATCATTGATGTTTCTATCTCTCTCCCCTCTCCCTCCCTCTCTGAAATATATATATCTTTTCATAGTAAAACCCTAATATGTAAACCAATATAGTAAAACCCTAATATGCAAATCAACTGAACGGCAGAACAACCAGCAGAACGACCAGTCGCTATGACATGTACTGACCACCAGGGGGCAGACGCTCAACGCAAGAGCTGCCCCCTGGTGGTCAGTGTGCTCCCACAGGGGAGCACCACTCACCAGAAGCCAGGCTCACAGCTGGTGAGCGCAGCAGCCGTGGCAGGAGCCTCTCCTGCCTCTGCTGCAGGTAGGCGGTAAGGAGCAAGGGGTCCTGGACTGCGAGAGCCCCAGACTAAAAGAAGGATGTCTGACTGCTGGCTTAGGCAGGGGGAATCGGGCCTAAGCCGGCAGGAGGACATCCCCCAAGGGGTCCCAGATTGCGAGAGGGCACAGGCCAGGCTGAGGGACCACCCCCCACCCCGGTGCACAAATTTCATACACCAGGCCTCTAGAGTGTGTGTGTGTGTGTGTGTGTGTGTGTGTGTGTGTGTGTGTGTGTGTGTATCATCTCCAAGGAAGCTTAACTTGAAATAATCCTGAGCCAACACATTCCTGGCTTCAAGACAGACTAAAGGAGGAATCTTTCTAAAGGGACACTGGACGCCAGTGGTCATAACTAAATGTACCTCCTGCCCCCAAATAACATGACACAACAGAAGATAAAGTCAGGCTCTGGGCGAGGCACTTAATAAACAGCAGGGCTTGCGAAGGGCTTCCCACCACATCTACTCTCCAGTCGGTCCCTTGAGGGGGAGGCACCAGCATCCCAGTTCATAGATCAGACACTGGGCCACACAAAAGTGAGTACATTTCCCATCATCACTCAGGTCGTAAGACACAGGCACAATGCAAGTCCCTAACTCCCAAGTCCTAACTCTGCCTGGCCCTCCCTCCCCAGGGTCAGAGCCAGCCAAGAGCCAATCACGGGCCTTCCCTAAGCTGGGCTCATCCTCTGCAGAACTGCGAAAATTAAGCTTCTGTTAAATTCACCCGCAAAACCCAGTCTGTGCGCAAATGGCAGAAATAATGAAAGAAAATTTAAAACTGAGATTTAAAATAAAGTTATTTTAAAGTTGAAGACAACAGGATTTGAGTTACTTAAACTTAAAGGGACAAATGCATTTCTAACTCACTGAAAGTTCAACTCTCTCTGCACTGTCCAATAGGGTGGCCACTAGCCACATGTGGCTTCTGAACCCTAGAAATGTGGCCAGGGTGACACATTTCAAGTGCTCAGAGGAACCAAATTTTACATTTAGCTTAGTTTTTAACTTAAAACCTAAGGCCTTGCAAAACGTTTGTCCATTAAGCACAACTTCATTGTTTCGGCAGGAGGACATTTCCCTTTAGCCACTGCAGGGCCTGACGTGCTGCGTCGCGGCGCGCGCTGCCAGGAGCACTGCTGCATCACCACAAACACACCACTGTTCCTCTCGGGGACAATGGGCTGACTCGGTCCACGGGGGCTCTTTCCAGGCGATAATGAGACACTGCGATGTGTTTATTACGCAGACAGCATGAGTTACAGGGACAGCTAGAGAAATCATAATTGGCAACTAAAGTAAAATTTGTCTAGCTAAAAAAATAAATACGGACAATTTTAAAATTTAAAATAAAGGTAAACTTCAGATGCAACAGAACTGAACAGAGACACAGAAGCTAGAACTACAACCAGAACAGTAAGGGCGGGGGGGGGAGGGAGGGGCGGGGAAGAAAGCAGTTGCAGAAGGTATGACACAAATTTTACAACGAATGACAAACAATTGCAATTTGTTGTGGCAGAGTGTACATGAGACATTTTTAGCAAATACATAATGAAGTTGATCTTCCTCTCAACAGTCAAAAAGAATCAATGAAATTAGTGGCTGAAATTCAAATTAAATATTCAACAAAACAATGGAAACAAATGTTTAATAGGATCTGTGCTTGTAGCTTCGGTCAGCTATAAAATGACTTGGATTCTACACAAAAAAGAAAAGCACTTTAGATAAAAATGTGGTAATAGAAATTATCTTGAGGAAATAAGACTAAAAAACATATTTTACAGAAAGTGAACAATTTTTAGTTAAGCCAGTTAAGTAACTGCCTACAGAGTATAAAACATTTTTAACAATAAAGATTTATTCAAAACTTGAAAATTAAAAAAAAAATTTTTAAATAAGTGGTGTGACATAAAAGACTGCCTAATTAACACTTTGGGTCTGTTCCCTCAAAGGATTTACAAATATATGAGAAAACATTGTCAAATTGAAGCCTAAAAATATCAAGCTCGCCGTGTGGCTCATTTTTCATCACTTACATCTGTCAAAGGCGAGTTCCACCTACAAGCAAAAAACCCGTGTCTGTCACGACAGACATGCTCCAGCTGGGTTGAGTTAAAATTTGGATTTACTGGGATTTTAAGATTGATATTTCCCATATTACTGCATCCTACTGTCTGATACATGTTGGAAACATCTGCACTCAGTTTTCCGAAGCCCACTCCCTGGAAGGTATCATGGATACAACTCCGACACTGTTTCAGTATGTGCTTGCCAACGCTACCATGACTCACCAGTAGAGACCTGTCGCACGAAACAGAAGGCGGTGTTTAATGATGTTGTGTTCTTTGCCAAGGATAGTCAGAGGAAAGAGTTTTCTAAAGACTTAGTGTACAGTTAAAACACTAAGTAAAAGGAATTTCTTGAAATAAAAGGAAAGCTTGCTAAATCATTTTTTAAAAATATATTTTTATTGATTTCAGAGAGGAAGGTGGGGAGAGAGAGAGAAACATCAATGGTGAGAGAGAATCATTGATTGGTTGCCTCCTGCACGCCCCCTACTGGGGATCAAGCCTGCAACCCAGGCATGTGCCCTTGACTGGAATCGAACCCAGGACCCTTCAGTCTGCAGGCCGATGCTCTCTCCATTGAGCCAAACTGACTAGGGCTAAATCATTATTTTCAATATTTCACTATTTCACCCAATAACCAAAAGATTAAAAATGGCAGTGTGATTCTCACACTGCTACAAACAAGCTAATTTTAAAGTTCAAAAGAAGGGAAAAGAAAACTTTATTTATGACCCAGCCAAATAAGTATGAGAATTTATGTTGGGACTTTAGAATACAAGTCAAAAATAATGGTTTTACATATTTTTATAACATGACTTCATATGCAGAAGATTTTTAATTGTAACAGACAGCAAAGTAGCTGCAAAACTAAGGGAAATTTTGAAAAACATTTGGTTGAAGTTAATACATTTAGAGTTCTTTTCAATTTATTCAGTACTCTTTTGAATTTGATGGTATACTACTGAGTTAACACAAAAGTTGGTGAATTTATTTAACTTGGACATAGTTTTGAAAATATACCTTTGTTTTAAACCCAAGTTAGTTCTTCTAATAAAATGACCCTGTTTTGTCATTGTGCATGCATATTAAAGAAAAATGTTTACTTGGTATCTGATTCAGTTATTGAAAAATTTTTACATAGGTGGAGCAAATTGGGTCCATAAATCTTTTTTTAAGCATAAATTTTTATGAAATCTAAATACAGAACAAGGGGTTTGCAATAAAAATTTAGTGCCTGAATTAAGATGTGCTGGGAATGTAAAATACACACTAGATTTTGAAGACTCGGTATAAAAACAAAATCTGAAATACATCACTTGTTTTTTTCTATTAATTACATATCAGAATGAAATTTTGGATTCTTTAATTAAATAAAATATATGATTAAGATAAATTGCACCTGTTTCTTTGTACTAGTTTTAACGTGGCTACTAGGAAATTTGAAGTCACACGTGGCTAGCATTCTATTGGGGTTGGACAGTGCTGGCCCACAGGGTCACTTTCATTTCCTGTAGAAAACCAAGACCAGTTTCTGCAGGAAGTTCTTTGCATTTGTCCCATTTCCTCACAAACCCATTTGGAAAGAAATCATGCCTGGAGGCTTATTTACATCTCCAGGGGAGAAATGCTCACAAGAGGGAAAGAGAGTCCAAAACCTGAGCCAGAAGAAAAGCCCCTCAGGGCTCTGAGTCTATGGCCTTGGGCCGCGATGAATTTCTGACACTCCCTGTCGTGATGTAGGAAGGTGCCTGCAGTCCAGGGCCCAGGGCAGGATCCTAGTGGAAACCCTCCGGGGGCTGCCCTGTGGCACTGCCCCTGGTCCTCTGGGTACAGGCTGGCATCATCCTGGCTCAGCTGCGACGGCCCTGCACAATCCAGCTGTCCTCTGTGAGCTTCGATCCAAGATGCCTTTTTGTTTTTTTTAAACTCTCCGAGCCCTTTCAAGCCCTTTCAAAATCATGGGAAAGAGACAAAATGATAAAGGGAACCATCACCTCCTGGAATGACTACAGTCCCGAGAGAATAAAGGACACTTGTGGAGATGAGGGCAACCCCAGTCTGCATAAGTCAAGATGTCACAGACTGTCGCATGCCACCAGGGGCAAAGAGCAGGTGTGATCACCATCAGCCCCATTTTACAGATGGGGCGCTGGGCGTCAGCCTGGCGCTGTCCAAGGTCCCAGAGAATAGACACCTACTCACACCTGGTCGTGCGGTCCTGTACTTCTCACTCCACCTCAGTATAGTTGCTGAATATGCAAATACCCAGAATAGTTTCCTACAGCATCCTCTGTTCTCACTCATAAAAGCAAAATTCTACCTTTATCTTTATAGGAAAAAATTATAGTAGAAAAAGTACTAAATAAACATTTTATATTAATTTCTAAAGGGATAATCTGGACAATCATGTCTCACTTCTAGTTCTAGTTAAAGAATCTTTTGCATCTAATATGTAATAAATGTGTAATCAGAAGACTTCAGCTCTAGCCAGTTTGGCTCAGTGGATAGAGCATCGGCCTGTGGGCTGAAGGGTTTTGGGTTTGATTCCGATCAAAGGCTCATGCCTGGGTTGCAGGCTCGATTCCCAGTAGAGGGCATGCAGGAGGTAGCCGATCAATGATTCTCTCTCCTCATTGATGTTTCTCTCTCTCCCTCTCCCTTCCTCTCTGAAATCAATTAAAAAATATTAAAAAAAAAAAAAAAAAGAAGAAGACTTCAGAAAGCGTGTCTCCCTTAGGAGTAGCCAACAAATCAGGAAGACTCTTCACTGAGAGAAGTGGATACTAAGTCACTGGGGCCAGTGAGTCTGAACAAAAAGGGAGCATATTCCTATGAAGACTGCACCTTTATTTTTAAAAATATATATTTTTATTTATTTTGGGGCAGGCATTATTCAAAGTTTTTACATACATTAACTCAATCCAGACAGCAACCCCAGGCAGTTCCTATTATTGTCCCTAATTTACAGAGAAGGAAACTGAGGCACAGAGCCAAATGCTCCCTATAAATCCCTGTGCCCCACACTTTACACACATCACCTTTATTCATCCTCACAACTGCCTAGGAGGGACATAGTGGGACTTAGAGGGATGAGGACATTTGCCTCAACTAATCAGTGGGAAAGCTGGGATCACAAGATCAGCAGATAATATCACTTCCTCTACCTTAAGATACTGTTCTTATGACACCTGACAGACCCAACTTCGCCAAGAGGGGCGGTGCAGCAGATGCAGTTACGCCCTCCAGGTGTCCTTCCTAAGGGGACCCTGGCTCCCGTGACAGCAGCTGCCAAGGTCGTGTGCATGCCCCTTCTCCAGGGACAGGCTGTGCCCAGAAATGCCCCACTTCTGCCTACAGCCAATGGCTGACCGATGCTGGAGTACAAAATACATCCCAATCCATCACTTATACCATAAACCCACCCCAGGATCTGCTTTTGGGAGCCTCACCTCAGAGACAAACAGACAGACAGACAGACAGACAGACAGGCTCTGTCAAGTGCTAGATGGCAGAATTCTGGGTTGCAATCCAAGTAGCTTAGAGGAAGCTCCAGAACGGGTATGTGTTGGCTTTTTAAATACAAGTATTTTGCCCTTTAAAAATAACCCCACATTTCTTCCTTAAGTGCTTTGTGATGAAAGCGAACATTTACTTAAAAAAATCAAGGTTTTAAGGAACACTTACTTCACTAAAGAAGCTTTGCGACACAGTTTGTCCGCCCCCCGGTAGTAGTTCACCAACTGCACCAGCCCAGGCTCGTGACCTGTGAAGGAAAGGGAGGCTCAGAGGGGTCCAGGCCCGGGAGGCACCCGGCTCAGGAGAGGGAACAGCTGTGTCACGCCCAGCGTGTTCTCCCTTCCAGGACTGGGGGTTGGACAGGAACAATTCTGCTGCCCGGCATCGGCACTGCCCTGCCTCAGCATCCCACTGGCCCTCTCAGCCTCCCGTGGGGGAGATTATAATATCAATATCCCAGAGCTGCCCAAGACCACTGCCGCCTGTTTGTCCTTCTATTTCCCCTCTCCCGATCCCCTCCCTGGCTTAACACACGGACTGGTAAGTTATCTCCATACAGAAGGACGGCAGCGGAGTCACACTCCTGACCTCCCAGCCTTCTCCCCATAGCCATCAGGGGTGGCAGCAGAATGGACGCTCCTGCCTCCAGCGCACCTGCTTTTTCGGGCTCCTAAGAAAACCACCAGAAGGCGGGGTGCGGGGGGTGGGGGGGCGGGCGGCAGTGGGAAGGCCACATCCACAAACTCTAAAGCCTGAGGACTCTCCTCTGTACATCACCCAACAGGGAAACACATTTTCAATAGATTTTATGGCAAGTCCCCTCCTCCCTCAATTAGAGCAGAAAGGATACAAATAAAAACAAAAGCCTTGGTTTAGTTTAAAAATCCTAACCAAATGCACTGAATTTCCAGCAACAAAAACAAAAGTAAAACCGAAGAAAGGGAGTCTGAGCTGATGCTGCCAGAGGTATGAATAATTGATCTGAGAACAGTAGACAACTGAATACAGTTTCTGGCACTGCCTGGCTGTCACCAGCTCCCTGATCACACCTGGGCTGCTTCCCCTCTCACCCCGTGGCCCAGGCATCTTGAGCCTTTACCTGATTTTTCCTTAGGGTTTGTGTGGTGCACTTTAAGCAAAAGGAAAATATGCCTACAGTGAAGGCATAAAGCATTTTGGTTGTGGGATGCTGCTTCCTTTTCCACCAACGCCAGACGTTTCCTGCTCACCTGCCGACCTGGTGGGCCTGCTGGGTGGTTTCTGCTCCTTCACCCTAGACCCAAGCACCACAGCAGGGCCATCGCCCGCTTCAGCCCCAGCAGATCCAGGTGTGTTTTTAACGCTAGGATCCCAGCTAAGCCCTGACAGCAGGCACCGCGGACAGGAAGGAAGTGGGGCAGGCGGGGAAGTGGACGGCGCAAGGAGGAAATGAGCATTCCCGACTGTAAGCAGTTTCTTCTCCTTCCAGGGGAGGTTTACCCTGTGCAGGGGCTTCTGGGGGAGACAGTTCATCTCCAGGCAAATTCCCATATTCCAAGATTTCTGGGGGTTAGAACCAACCCTTCCCTGCATCAAAAACTTGTATAGTCATTAAAAAGTGGGGGTGGGGGTGAGGGTGGGGGAAATAAACAAAGAAGTGGCTCATGGTCCATTCCAAAGAAAGAAACTTCAGTCCAGGCTGTGCTGCCACACCCTTCATTCCCGGAGCCACAGGCTGCACAGGGTCCCATGCCTCCGGCAGCCAGCTGGTCCCTGAAGGCCCGATGCAACCTCCCCATCCTGACCACACCTATTTCTAGAAACTGCTTCCTCTCATGGACACAAAATATGCTCTGCCTGGTTCCCTCCAAAGCAGAGATGGCTTGTCTTCATTCTCCAGTCTCTGCGTGGGTCTCTGGCCTATGATCTGGCCCCCACCCCACCCCCCAGGGGATTTTGGCAGGGAGCGTGGCTGCCAGGGCAGCGGCTGGAATTCCTGGTGACTGCGCATGGAGGAGAGGCCGTGAGGCTACACGCAGGTCAGTGGGATGGGAGCTGAAGTCCCTGCACAACTTCTGGATGACGTCATCTAAAGAGGAGGGGGGTGGTCCACGCCCCCCGCCCCCTCCGCAGCCGGCAAAGTGCACCTGGTGGTGCCAAGCCAGCTCCGACCGTGTGCATGAAGCAGGGCAGAGGGAGAACCCGGCCGTGTAAAGCCTGCGTGCAACGCCCGCTGTGACCCACACTTGTGAGCACGCGTTCTTTGGTGAAGCTAAAGGACCGGCTGAAATCACAGGTCTCGCCCCTCCCTGGCTCCCTTCCGAAGCTCCTGCTTTGGGAGTTCAGGTCTTTCCCCAGTCCCCTGGCGGGTCATCTGAGCCCCGGGGAGCGGAATCCTTGGGGTGGTCACCGCGCACAGTGCCCCTCCCACGCCCTCAGGCCGGAGCAATTCCCAGCAGATGTCACCGGCTCCGAGGAGCTCCCGCCCCGCGCTCAGCCCGCATCAGGCGTGGGGATGAGAAGAGGGGGCGCGCGGCCCGGGATAGGGGGGCGTCTGGCGGGAGATGGGCGGGGGTCCCACCTGACGAGGGATGTGCAGGACGGGCCATTGTCAGGGGGCCGCGCGGGGGCTCTCAGGAAGGATGGTGCAGACCCGCAGGGTCCGCGTCTCCTCTGCCGGGTGAGAGACGGGGGAGATCTGTGGCCTCAACACAAAAGCGCCGGCTCCAGCGGGCCGGCCGGGGCGGGGCGGGGGCGCGGGGGGCGCGGGGACGCTCACCCAGTCTCCCGAAGGGCAGCCGGTTCCGCTCGCCCAGCATCAGATTGAACCTGGGGTTGTCCCGCCGCAGCCTCTTCCAGTGGCCGGAGGCGACCAGCAGCCGGGAGACCTCGGCGTAGACGCTGCTGTTCTCGTCGCGAACCACGAAGGTGAACATGGCGAGGCCGCCGGCGCAGGGCACGGGGACCAGCGGCTCCGCGTGGAACCCGCCGCACCGAGCCCAGGCCCGGGTCTCCGCGTCCACGCCCGGCACCAGGGTCCCCGCCCCGCGCGCAGGCCCCGGCGCCGCAGCCTCGCCGGCCCCGCCCCGCCCCGCCCGGGCGCCGAGACTCACAGCTCCGGCCACGCCCCGGCCCCGCGCGCGGCCCCGCTTCCCCGGGCCGGGCGCACAGGCCCCAGCTCCCGCGTTCCCGCCCAGCGAACAGGCCCCCGGCCGGGCGCACAGGCCCCCACACTCCGCCGCGCTCCGCCCCGGTGGGTCCCCAGCACCAGAGTCCCCGCCCCGTGACCGGCCCCGCCCCTTGCGTATCTGGGGTCCCCGCCCCGCGCGGTCCCGCCCTCGCCCCGGGATCCGGCTGGGCGGCTGGAGGGGTAGGGCGTTGTGTGCCCGCGCGGGGCCTGCAAGGGGCGTGGGGAGGTGCTCCGGAGAGGAACCCGGACAGGGTCGCGTCCTCCGCAGCCCAGGGTCACAGCTGGGGGCGGTGCTTGCAGAAGAGGGATTCTCCACTACTATTTTATTTTATTTTTTAAATTTGTTTTTATTGTTGGCAGTATTACAGATGTTCCCCATCTCCCCTCTTTTGCCCTCCTGCCTCCACCCCAGGCCTTCACAGTACTATTGGCTGTGTCCATGGGTTATGCATGTAAAGGGTGTCCCAAAACCATGTATACACACTTTGAATAGTTATAAAAGCAGTGTTTATTAAAATGCATTTCATTTTCAAAATTGAGCTATCAGTTGTTAAAGTGTGTGTGCATCTGGGGGAGACACTCTGTATGCATCTTTGGTTAATCTCTTCCCATCCTCCCTCCGCCCGCCCCCCACCCCCCACCCCCTACCCCCCTAAAATCTGTCAGTCTGTTCCATGCATCCATGTCTTTGGACCTATTTTTGTTCCTCAATTTATTTTGTTCATTACATTCCACATATAGTGAGATCATGTGATATTTGTCTTCCTCTGACTGGCTTATTTCACTTAGCATAATACTCTCCAGGTCCCTCCATGTTGTCTCAAAAGGTAAGAGATCCTTCTTTTTATAGCTGTGTAGTATTTCATTGTGTAGATGTACCACAGCTTTTCTATCCAATCATCTGCTGATGGGCACTTGGACTGTTTCCAGATCTTAGCTATTGTAAATTGCGCTGCTATGAACATAGGAGTGCATTCTTTTGAATTGGTGTTTTGGGATTCTTAGGATATATTCCCAGAAGTGAGATCTTTGGGTTAAAGGCAGTTCCATTTTTAATTTTTTGAGGACACTCCATACTGTTCTCCACAGTGGCTGCACCAGTCTGCATTCCCACCAGCAGTGTACGAGGGTTCCTTTTTCCCCACCTTGCCAGCATTTGTTGTTTATTGATTTATTGATGATAGCCATTCTGACAGGTGTGAAGTGATACCTCATTATTGTTTTAATTTGCATATCTCTCATGATCAGTGACTTTGAACATGTTTTCATATGTCTCTTGGCCATCTGAGTAGACACTTTGGAGAAGTGTCTATTTAGGTACTTTGCCCACTTTTTAATTGGATTGTTTGTCTTCCTTCTGTTGAGTTGTATGAGTTCTTCATATATTTTGGAAATTAACCTCTATCAGATGTATCATTGGTGAATATGCTTTCCCATACAGTGGGTTCCCTTTCCATTTTGAGGATGGTTGGAGCCTCAGAAGTTTTGTTTTTATCCTTAAAATGTCTCTTTAAGCTGTGTCCAAGATGTGTGTCCTTTCTTTTCCTGCTTTAGGACCACGGAGTACCCAGAGTGTTTGGTGGCTGTGGTTCTTTGGGGTTGAGGCTTCGTTCACCTGCTGAGACCCCCTGGGTGTTGCTCAACGTGGGGACTTTAGGTTTCTCTGGGGACTGGATCCTGCACAGGCCTCAGGAACCCGGACCGCTGCCCGCCTCCACACTGACAGGCACTGGGTCCTTGCTTTCCCTTCTCCGGACCCAGATTTCCTCTTCTGAGTGGGTAAGTCTTTAAAGTCCCTTCAACTTTTGGTGCATTTGAGGGACAAAGAAACTTTCAGCCTCTCTCATAAATTATCTACATCAGCCATGCGCCTCACATTTTTACTCTTCTTTACATAAAGGACATTCGCACTAGCCGGTTTGGCTCAGTGGATAGAACGTAGGCCTGCGGACTGAAGGGTCCCGGGTTTGATTCTGGTCAAGGGCACATGCCTGGGTTGCGGGCTTGATCCCCAGTAGGGGGTGTGCAGGAGGCAGCCGATCAATGATTCTCTCTCATATTGATGTTTCTATCTCTCTCTCCCTCTCCCTTCCTCTCTGATATCAATAAAAATATATTTTAAAAAAACAACACTCCGCGTCATCTCTGCGTCGTTGTGAGCTCCCGTGTGCAGGTATCTACCTCGAGTATTGTAAAGGCGCCCTTCTCTCTCCCATTTCTGCCTGTGTCCCCTGGGGTGGGAACATGTCTGTTTGGCGTAGGGACCCCCTCCTCTGCCACCACCTGAAGGCGTTCACCGGCTGTGGGAAGCTTGCTATGGGACCAACTCCAAAATGCAGGAGTGCTCCCAGGCTCCCAGCCTGGGCCCTCTATCCTGCAGGGATACGGCCTCAGCTTCCTCACCCCTCCATGGGTCTGTGGGAACCAGGCTCGCCCAACAGGACCACTGCCTCTCTTTGCCATGGTGATTGGTTTAACATAGAAAACTGACTCAAATCTGGCCAATCTGATTTTCTTTGGAATTTTTCTACCAGAGCTATGGAGAGAGACTCCCCACCTCTCAACTGGAGTTGCGTAGCGGGAAGATTGTGGGGGACACCCTGCAGCTCTCCTGACATCTTACAGAGGGAGGACCTTGTGAGAATTCAGCTTACCATCCCTGTGCATTAGGCCTGGCAACGTGGCCATTATCTTCTTGCCAAGGGAATGTAAACAGTGATGTACCCCTCTTCCTAGTCTGGACCTTAGAATTTGAGCAGGCCTTCTCCCTCGCCTGGAGGCAGGACGTACAATCAATAACAATAGAGGAACCAAAGGTGTAAGAAATTTACCAAGACTCATTGTTTGCTGGTTCACAAAGCAAACCTTAACAAATTTCAAAGGATCCAAAGAATTTTGAACATTTTCTATGACTTTAGTGGAGCTAAGCTGCTTGGAAATTAAGTAATACACTTTTAAAAATTGAGACATACTTGACATTTCATTCTCTTTGTTTTAGGTGTACAACATAATGATTGACTAATGAAAACTGCAGTCCCTACACTGAACATGATAAAATGTAAATTTTAAAGCACAAAATAAGTGGAAGAATATACCATGTTCAAAATGGGGAGACTCAGAATTGTTCAGCTGTTGATTGTTGCCAAAAAGTGACCTGTAGGTCCAGTGCAATCCCAAACAAAATGGCTACAGAACTCTGTGTGGAAGTGGACAAGGCAGTTCAAAATTTATCCAGAAATGCAGAGGACCAAGAATAGCAAAGGCAATCTTGAAGAAGAAAGTTGGAGGACTCACAGTATCAGATATCAAGACCTGTGAGCCCGGCCAGCATGGCTCAGTAGCTGAGCGTCAACCTATGAACCACATGGTCACGGTTCGATTCCCGGTCCGGGCATGTAAAAAAAAAGGACTGTGAAACATAGTATTTAACTACAAAGCTGTAGTAATTGAGAAAGTATGGTTTTGGCACAGGGAGAGCCAGACCAATGGAAAGCAACCCACATATATACAGTCACTTGGTTCATGATAGAGGTGACATCAGTGGGAGAAAGGATGGTCTTTTTGGTAAATGGAGTTAGGTCACTGCATATCCATTGGAAGACAAAATTAATCTCAAGCTCTACCACACAAAATCAGTGGCAGATTCATGCAATTTAATGCCTCTAAATTTGAAAGGTAAAGCAATAATGCTTTTAAGATTAAAAAACAAAACCAAAAAAGCAGCAGAAAAACCTTTGTGATCTTACACTAGGAAAATATTTGTTAAAAAATACCACAGAAGTCTCTAGGAATAAGAAAAACTGATAAATAGGCAACTTTGAAATTAAAAACTTTCACTCATTAAAAGACACCAGCCTATATAATAAAACCCTAATATACAAATCAACCGAATGGCGGAATGACTGGTTGCTATGACGTGCACTGACCACCAGGGGGCAGACACCGCCCCCCACCAGAGGGAGGCAACTGGCAGCAGCGATAGGGGGAGGGGGCAGCCAGCAGGCGGTGCCAGGTCGCCAACCAAAGCAGCTGCCAGCAGGGGGCCCCCAATTGCCCCCCCTGCCGGTTGCCCACAGATGGCCCTGATTGCCAGCCAGGCCTAGGGACCCTACCCTATATATTGGGAACAGTCTCATAGATTTAAAAATTAAAGCCTGGCAAAGCTACTCTAACACTGAAAAAACAGGATGATGCAGCAATGACATGCATGGACTCTGGCTTGCACGTTTTGTGGTCAGCCCTGATTCTGACACTTATAACTGTGTGACAAAGTCCATTACTTAACATCTCTCTGCTTCAGTTTTCCACCCATAAGATGGGGAAAATGGTACTACTGCCTCAGAAGGAGCATGTTATGTACTGTTTTCATAATCAGGGCAAAAAAATGTAGCTGCCCTTATAGCAGCAAGATGCCTTTCCCCTGTATGAAAAGTATGGTCACTGGTGCATGCAGCGTCCCGGATTGTGAGAGGGATGTCCGACTGCCGGTTTAGGACCAATATTCCCCATGGGGTACCGGATTACAAGAGGACGCAGGCCAGGCTGAGGGACCCCTCCCCCCACAGGTCCCCCTCCCCCTGCACGAATTTCATGCACTGGGACTCTAGTCAAGAGAATAAAAAGGAAACTCACAGAGCAGAATGTGATGTTTGAGGTGTGTGTTGTGCACAAGGAATTACAAACTAATCATAAAGAGACTGGCAAGCCAGTTGACAAAAGAACTGAGCTGGGCTAGGCCTGTGGGCTTGTGTGCCTGGGGCGGGGTCTGGGGGCCAAAAAAACCTACAGCGCCAGGTATTCCCAGGTGGCCTCCCACCCAAGTGCTAACCAGGCCCAATCCTGCTTAGCTTCTGAGATCAGACAAGATCAGGCGAGTTCAGG